AATCGTCTGATGATTTTAAACACGTAGTGACCTCACACAGAAACTGCTGATTTCAATTGAATTTTATGTTGAGACTTAATGAAACCCTTTAGGGGCGTTGGTAGCTTTTTACTTAAGCGGTATGTACTGATTTTAACTTCAAGCTTTGTATACCTAGCTTTTTGTGCAAGTACAATTTTACCCTGCTTCCAAATTATGTGACTGTTTAGTATGTGTCGTCAGGGTGGTAGATATACTGTGTAGTTTGTTATGCGTGTTTATTTTTTGTGTCCCTTCTGTTCATACAGCTTCCAAAGTGTCTACGTATTTATTCATCCCTGGCTTGTAAACGTTCTGTACCAAGCCAACCTATGCATAACATATGTTCATGATGTCAATGTTTTTGGAATACTCTGGTTCTTGTGGTTTATGTGGTCTTCTGTATAAGTATCCTGTTCGTGAGTCATGACAAACAAATATGGTCATACATGGCGAATATATAAAGGAAATATTTTAGAATAAATCAGAGAAATAAGAGTTCTATAAGTTATTCAACGTGTCAATATATTATTTCAAATCATGATAGAACACAGTGAAATAGTATGCACGCCTACAATAAGTATATTATAATTATCATTGTTTGAAATCCATTTCTAGTTTATTCCAATGTACATACATTTAGTTTGCATATTATGATATAAACGCAATTTGTTTTTAAATCAAATTTAGTTGATTGATTAAAAGTTCCAAGACGATAAATACAGAAAATTCATTTATAAAGAATTTAATGACATTGGAATCTATGTCATTGGAATCAGAAATCACGGCGGTCGGCTGCAAAACTCATATTTGGTATTTAATACAATTTGTTTGATGAGATGAGAGATAGGGTGTTTAAAAAGATCCCCAAACGACACATAGAGTCCAAATAATTTTGGCAGTAAGATATATAAAATTGAGAATGGAAATAGGAAATGTGCCAAAAAGACAACAACCCGAACATAGAGCAGAAATCAGCCCAAGGCCAACAATGGGTCTTCAACACAGCGAGAAAATCCTGCACCCGGAGGCGGGCTTCAGCAGGTCCCTAAACAAAAATGTGTACTAGTTCAGTGAGAATGGACGTCACACTGAACTCCGAAACATATAAATGACCTAAAATTTAAAAAAAACATACAAGACTAACAAAGGCCAGAGGCTCCTGACTTAGAACAAGCGCAAAAATGCGGCGGGGTTAAACATGTTTTGTGAAATCTCAACCTTCCACCTATACCTCTAGCCAATGTAGAATAAACAAACACACAGCAATACACACAGTAAAACACAGTTTAAAAGAAGTCCGAGTCCGATGTCAGAATAGGTAACAGAAGAAACTAAGGAAAATGACAATGATACATAAATTACCAAAAGGACTACTAGCAGTAACTGACATACCAGCTCCAGACCTCAATTAAACTGATTGAAATATTATGTCTTCATCATATGCAAATCAAGCACAATCCCTCCCGTTAGGGGTTTAGTATCATACAATCATAAATGTATCTATCTCAAACAGCCTGCTTCATATATAGAAACATTTAGGTTCTAAGTAAAGTTTAACTTTCATGACCCGATCTGGATGTATACAAAGGAAGAAACATCAATTATTGTGATACGCGTTTCTGAATTTACCTTCATCAAAAACAATCAAAGCCAACAATTAGATATATTATCTGTATTTGGCAAAACTTATCTGAATTTTGGACCCTAAATGCTCCTCAACTTTGTACTTTATTTGGCTTTACAACTTTTTTAATGCTATCGTCACTGATCAGTCATTTGAAAACGAAACGCGCGTCTGGCGTACACAAACATAAGCCTGGTATCTTTGATGAGGTATTTTTAAAGCCGGATGTGTAAGTACTGAAACACGTTAAAGAAAGGCGGAATATACCAACGGGGTATCCAAACTCAAAAGTTCAAAATTAACTGCCAATGCATGGGATATACATTTTCAAACTCATTTAGTATTCAAGAGCTTGTTTTATTAAACGTCAGCCGTGTCTGAGCAGAAAATTGACGAACCAGGGTTATGTCCCGTCCTTTTTCTAAAAAAGTATATCGGAAGATACCAAGACTTTCTTGATAAATATTCCGTATCAACTTCACAAATTATACATGTTGGTCTTGAAGAATAAATTTTAGGTACTGACGTTGTATATCATCTGAAGTACGTGTTGTGGTGTTCTTTTTATGTCTTTGTCTACTCTTAATCTTTACTGTTTAGTGGCTCGAACCTTTACTGTTCAGTCCATTTTTGGTATTATCCTTTTGGCGTGGCTCAAACTTTTACTGTGTAGTCCATTTTTGGTAATATCATTTTGGCGTACCTCGAACCTTTACTGTGTAGTACATTGTTGGTAATATTCTTTTGGCGTGGCTCGGTACATATACAGCCCGCCGTTGTGTTATTGGTACATGGTTATTTTTTGTATTATTGTCCTTAATTTTTGCTTAATATGTGTTTTGTCTAAATGCCATTTTGTTTTTTTTTTGTTGACATATTTGTTCGTTTTATAGTGATTAGGATTATAACACAATGACCGTTTTGAATTTTCCTTGTGTTCGGTATTTTTGTTATTTTTCTTTTTACCAGCTCAGTGGTCAGCACATTTTGTGTGTTTACATCATTGGTATATATAAAAATAGAAGGTGTGATAAGATTGCCAATGCGACAACCCTCATTGAAATGTTCATTTTTGTATTTGTTTTTATTCTAAAAGTGTGCACTATTTCATCTGAGGACGTAACATTGATAAATAAAATTCATATGGTTGAGAATGGAGATACATCCGGAAGATCGGAGATATGGTGAAGATGACGTACTTTGCATTTGATAACGCAGAACCAGATGGAACAGTTAGTAGTTCAGGAGATTGTATGTTACTATATGCTTAAAAAAAATACAAGTTTCACTCTGTCTGGTGCAAAAACGGAGGTTTACATGGAGGATATATTTGCCAGAAATAAACGATGTCTGTCTGTTAGAATGAAAGTATACACAAAAGTTTAATTTGTCATTGCAATCCATTTGAGCATTGGTTGTCTGTTGTTTGTTTTGAAGAAAAGAGCCATAGTTAGAAATGTAAAATATGTTAAGTATTTGTATGCATCGATTTCATATTTCCTCACTTATCGATGACTTAAATGAACGTTGGTAAGCTTAATCTTATGGACATTTCAAAGCAAAATACAATTTATTTTCGACCTCTCTTACAGAGCGGATAAACAGTTTTGTCAAGGGATAATTAACGTGTCTACCGTGTTCACTATTTAAATTACTATATTCATTATTTAATCTTATTCTAATAAAATTAGATATTAAGGATCGGTTTATAACTATCAATACAAAAGTTATAATTTTTAATAATTTAATTTGGATGTAACACGTCTTCTGATTGGCTGAGAGAATTTTGTTTATCAGCTCATAGACATAATTTTGTCATGTGACCGTGACGTTATCAACGTTTTTTTCATGATTTACTCCTTAAACATGGAATTTAGAATTAAATTATAAGGAATGATTGTAATATTTTTTCTGTCTATTCGAAATAACAGAAAACATGTGGTGCACACTGTTAAATAACCCGCTACGCGCGTTATTCAGTGTGCACCACATTTTTTATTATCAAATTTGTTTGTTTCTCCACAATTTCGTCCGTCTCTCCTCGAATATGACAGTACCGAATTTTTACATACATGAGTTACACGACGGAATCCACATCTGAAGCAGGATCTGCTTACCCTCTAATCTAGAGAAAAGTCATAATATGAAGGATACTTGACTTATCTGTTGTATCATATATTTCAAACTTAATGGGATAGATGTCTCAACATAGTAACCAAACTTTGATTTTTTTTCCATTTGTCAACTTCCCATTCTCAGCAGTAACATACCTTCTGTCTATCCGTATTGCGTGCGCATATCTTAATTGATACGTTACACTCGTGTATCTTTACACTATGCAAACTTTATTAGCTGGGTCGCACCCCAGACACAAAAACTGCGCCAGGACAGTTATGAGGAAAACGACAGAAATCGACACTACATTATATTTAGGGTCACCACGATGAATTGGTTAATTGTTACGATATGTCCGTGTCTCAACTTACTACCGACATGTTTTTGTATTTGTAGATATCAAAAAAATTGAACGATTTGTAAATCTACCGATTGTTTTCCATTCCTGTGACATTAAGACTGGTTGTATATGGCGGATGGTGCATAAATAGGAGGACATGCCTATACTATCGACGCATCCATTCCCTCTTCTTTTTTGGGGATCATGCGATTGATTCAGGGTGTGTTTCCTTAGTTGGTTTGTTTGGTTTGTTGTAGAGTTCGATCTTTAATGATATGTCTTTCATCCTTTAGTCAGCACTTCTGTGTTGACACAATCTATCATTGAAATGGTCACAATTATAAATTAACTGTTGATGAAACCTGGATTTTTCGAAATATAAGGATTTTATACCCGAGGAATATATTACTTTAGCTGTATTTGTCAACCTTCCGGAACTTCGAACTTTATTTTGTCTTTTTTCTCGAGCGCCACTGATGAGTCTTTTGTAGACGAAACGCGCGTCTGGCTTGCACAATTTTAATCCTGGTATATATGATTTGTTTTATTTATGCAGATTTCACGTTTTCTTTTCAATTATGGATTTTCATATATTTTGGCGTCGAGCATCACTGAGGAGACATATATTGTTGAAATGTGCATCTGATGCAGTACACTTGGTACTGGTAATGTTGTAAACATTACTACGTAAATTTAAAGAAATAACGTGTAATTTATCAAAATATAAAAAGTGAAAGCTAGTTCCGTGTGCTTGCATCCATATCAAAAGCCTTTGAACAATCATAATTTTTTGCGGAGATACTTTTCAATTCACAGAACATTTTAAAAAAACGTATAATAAGAACTGATATATTGAACTGCTTAACATATTTCATAAAAATAACATGAACTATTTTGCCAAATCTATTTTTTTAATAGTTTTATGGTCATGATGGTGTGAAAAATAGTATTTGCTGGTTACAATGTTATTAATTATAATCATCATCATCGTCAAAAATCTTTTCAAAACCATCATAAGCATCATCATCATCATCATCATCATAAAAATCATTTAACAGAATCTTGATTGTTATCGTCATGATTGTTTTTGTCATGATTATTATCATCATGATTATCATCATCATTATTATCATCATTATTATTGTCATTATTGTTATCATCATTGTTACATTCATCATTGTTATTGTCATCATTGTTATTGTCATCATTGTTATTGTCATGATTATTGTCATCATTGTTATTGTCATGATTATTGTCATCATTGTTATTGTCATCATTGTTATTGTCATCATTGTTATTGTCATGATTATTGTCATCATTGTTATTGTCATCATTGTTATTGTCATCATTGTTATTGTCATGATTATTGTCGTCATTATTATTGTCATCATTGTTATTGTCATCATTGTTATTGTCATCATTGTTATTGTCATGATTATTATTGTCATGATTATTGTCGTCATTATTATTGTCATCATGATTATTGTCATCATTGTTACTGTCATCATTGTTATTGTCATTATTGTTATCATCATTGTTACTGTCATCATTGTTATTGTCATGATTATTGTCATCATTGTTATTGTCATCATTATTATTGTCATCATTGTTATTGCCATCATTGTTATTATCATTATTATTGTCATCATTGTTATCATCATGATTATCATCATTGTTATCATCATCATCAGTATCATCATCATCATCATCATTATCAGCAGCAACAGCATCTGAAAGTACGCCTATGAGTATAAAATACAGTAACTGGTAGTTAGATATCTAAATATGTTTAACTTCACCATTTGTAATGCATTGAAGCAGGAGGAAATGAAGCACTCTCTGCATGTTATACCTGTTTGTTATAGTTGACAAATGTTTTCTAGCAGATTTTTTGTATTCAATTATTTTTTTTTTTATGAATATCTTGATAATGCTTACAAGAAAGCTTTTCCACAAAGTGTTTCAAATTGTTGAAGCCACCCCCTTAAAATATGTGCTGATAACATCAGACTTTGGTTGACCATTATGGAATATCTGTATTACAGATGACCACGAGTATGTTCCACTCGTCTTTACCACAAATCCGTCTTTTTTTTCCTAGATTGTATCGTAACCGTACGTATTTTTTCTTTCAATGAGTAACACGATGGTGTCACATTCGGGTTTTGATGGATTTTGTGTTGCTCAATGTTTAGTTTTCTGTGTATTGTGTTATTATTATTGTAATATAGGGAGATGTGGTATGATTGCCAATGAGACAGCTACATAAATATATCAACCAGAAACTAGATGACGTCGACATTGTTTTCTAAGAAAATTTCTGTACCAAGTCAGAAATATGACAGTTGTTTTCCATACGTTCCGTTGGTTGATAAAGTCTAACGTTTGATTTTGTCAGTTTTTATCGACTTCCCCCTTATTGAATTATCTTGGAGTTCGGCATATTTGTTAATATTTTCTCAACAATTTTGTTGGTCTTGTAAAGGTCTTCTCGGTCATCTGTATACTGTTAACTAACTAATTTTGAAAGCGATTTATTTTTCGCGACTTTCGCGAGTAGAAAAATAACGCGAATATTAATCGTCGCAAATATGTAAAATTTTGACTTTCCTTATTGAACTACATCAAGTAAATTAGAAAATCGCGAAATCAAATCGCCGCGAAATGGACTAGAAAGAGATAGACGCGAAATAAAGTATCCGCGAAAATAAGTTGGTTACCAGTATTAATTTAAAGGTAGCACTTTTTTTTTAAGAAATGTTAATGTAAGTATTAAAATGAAAACATTACACGGAACTGTCCAAGAGGTGACGTCCTATTGTCTTCTAAAGTATATATATATATTTACCTCTTTTTTGCAATTTTCTCAAATCACGTGCGGAATCACTTGTATTATAATTAAACGATTTTATATTGAATATTTTCTTTTAGAGGTTTATTTGTTCAACATCTTTCATGTGTTCATGCAAAAGCAGATAACGTGGCGCATACATCGCGAACATTGAAACACCCAAATGAAGCAATATATAAATGAAGTACGAACTCTGAAAAATTAATACAGGTAATCTATATAATGCATATTGTGTTAAATATTTTAACGTTTTTTTTTTTCTTCGGTAAATTAATATATGCATGTTATTGTGATCTATACTCTGACTTTGAGATGAAGAACATCAATAAAAGCGCTGTTCCTTTGCTTTTTTGTGTGTTTTTGCTGTGCATGTACTAACTTTGTGTTAGGGATGGATACCATATATACTTTGTTTTTCTATCAGTCATAGTTACATGAAGATAATGTCATAAAGGCGCAAGTCACTTATGATATTTATATTAACGAATTAACTCAAATCCGTTGTTTCATGTTTACGGCGTTAGTTAAAGTAGGTAACATGTACCTAAATGCTTCTTTGCAAGTTAATTTGTATTGACTACACATGAAATATCCTAGCAATTATTGATTCGAAGCCTAAACGATTTCAGAGTTAAAAGCGGTTTATGTTCAGACAAACATTAAGCAATCCGTTAAAAATGCTTATTAAATATTTTCTGTTCGCAATTATATTTTATTTTTATTTCAAAGATGTGCATTATAAGTCGGAGCATGTGACATCAATAGGTTCAAGACCTGTGGTGATTGGACATGGCCAAAAAAAAGATGGAGACGTACTTTGCATTTGATAATGAAGGACCAAATGGAACATTGAAGGCGTCACACTATTGTATGTTGTTGCTAGATGATATACATTCAATTCTGTTAGGTGCACAAACAGAGGATCGCTTGGGAGCTATTTTTGCGAGAAATAAATCATGACTGCCACTTTTACAAATTTTTACTTTTTATTTTAATGAACTGATTATAGTTCAGTCCTTGAAAGTTCTTTTCGGGAGACGTAAGGTTGACCTTGAGTCAAGCTTTGTTCTATACAGTCATTTAACCAGGATCCTGATATACAAAGGGGTACCAGTTGAGTGTATTGTTTGTGAATAATGATGGATGCCGATTGTATTTTATCTCATAAAATGTGATAAATTGATGCTTGTCGCTGTTTTAAGTGGAATAATTGTTTGCATTGTCCATTTGTTTGGTTTCTGTTCAGGCGATGCCACCGTTTCGTGTTTAATTAAGGCTAGTCGCGGCGAGTCTGTTGCTAATCCATATGAGTATTCTTGTCTATTTTTGAATATATATTTTCATTTTTACTTTTATCTTAAAGGAAAGTTAAGTTCAGGATGTAGTCGTTTCAGATTTAAGAACTTTTGTCAAATGTTCGGACTCCTTGAGTTTTTTTCCTGCGATACAGGGTAAAATATTTTGCCCAATGTCACCCACTTTGTATTCAAAGAAGACGTCAATAGCACATACAATATCATTACCAAAATCTAAGCAGATTCTAGATTTCTTTTCTTACTATTTGAGACCAAAATAATGCAAATGCTAAATGTAAGGTTGAAGTTTATACAGAGATCATTTATCATATTTGTTGCCCAATAATTTAACAGATTAAATTGTCTAAAGCTTTCCCTCTATGTTTGACTATATTATCATGATTATAAATTTCGTCGAACATCTTTCCCCTTTATAGCAATTTGTAAATTTGCATAACCCAAGGTGTTACAATTCTCTTCCTTATTTGTTGTCTTTGTACAATGCAGTTTTTGGTATTTTTGTCTTGTTTGTTGGTTCGTCTGTGTGCATAACGTGATGTTGTAATTTTATTTTGATTTATGATATTATTTTTCTGTTGTATCATCGAACAATTGTTTCTCAAAAGCCTTAAGAATGAAGTTGTTACAGTCTAAGATGCCATGTATTGATAATCTGAGAATGCCTGCGTGATGTCTTATTTGTGCAATATTTGAAAGTAGGTGTACAAGTCTACCTCAATTGACGCTCTTATCTTTCTCTGTTAAGGATATTCGCTCCTCTGTTACAAAATAACAAGCTTTTTAAAAGACTGTTATAAATTGATAGTATATAAATAAAGGTCTAAAAAAGCAGAACAAAATGTAGGGACAATGTGCTCGTTTTCGAGATATAAGCCATTGAAAATTTGGCGGGAAATGATTCTCTCTAGACTTTTCATCATTTAACATTGTCACCTTTTTTCTTTTAAAAACTATGAAAAATTAACAAGAAGTTTATAAGATTTTCAAATATGGCTTTTTAAACTATATGTAATAAAATTATTAACAAAAAAGTAGGGGTTAGCGGGAAAAAAATTTTAATGGCACTACATGGATAAAACCAGAGGATTAAGAATATCTGGCAAAAATTCAAAAACAAGAGGAGTGAACATCCTTAATTACAAATATAATTTATAATAATGACTACAAGTGACTTACAACGTTCTTAGTAATATGTTTTCAAAATATTCACACTTTTCTTGTCGTCATTAATTAACGCAAACATTAAGTTCGAAAGGTTACATTTAAAACACATTTTACACTGCAAACGGCGCATATTCAGACAGAATGAGGATTAACAAACACAATCACGAGACGTTTCCAAATGATAAATATTTCCATTTCTTCGTAACGTATCGCACGATAGCGGAAACCTAGCCTAAGAACAATATTATCAAAAACCTTTTTGTACATAGCCGAGGAAACATTCATCAATATTAACAAGTTGAGATATAAGAAACGAACATCCTCATGTGATGTCAAACTAGTAAAAAGGTGTTAGTCTGGAACGTTCATTAACCTTAACATCATCTGAAAAGTCTAAAAAATGAATTATAAAGTCATGTTCAGACTTTCAGTCAACTGTCAGAATTCTCAACTGCAATATATAATCAGTTCTGTTCAGACAAATTGTTTGCACTCAATTCAGTACTGTTCAGTAAATTTTGAGACAATCACGGTTGTTGTTGGTGTGTACAGGTAAATAACAGCTACTGAAAAGTCTGAACAGAGAATGAACAGATCTTAATTTACTTCAAGCAAATTATCTGAACAGTTATGGATTAAACGAAGTGGATAAGCCTCAAAGACTGAAAATGATGTACACATGTATTGTTCAGTCTTTTAAGACCTGTTCAGGTCAAAAAAACCGATTCAGATCAAAATAAGTTTACTAGTGTAAGAAGATATGTTGACTCTGTTAGACACCTTGACCCCCTCCGCCTTTGCTTTTTCTCCATTAAAGTTACAAGTATCGTTTGTTTTGGTCGATTGTATCAAGTTGTATTGCTTTTACATTGCTCATCGTTTTATTTTTTTGTTAGCTTTGGCGTTTTTCATGAGTACGCTATGTATGATTTTGGACGCAGTCTTCACTGGCGATTTGAGGTCTTACCGAAACAGGTAGATGTGTTTAAACAATTTTTACGTGTATCAGGAAATATAGTATATGACTGGATATTCTTACAAAATAGTATTGCTGATGATCAATTCTTAACATACTTACGTTTAGAAATATACTTTCTCACAGCACTTTTAATTAATTTCAAACGTAGAAATCTGGTCACCCGCAACATTTTCTTTCTGTCACTTGCAAATTTTTTCAACTTATACCTCAATCTTGGCCTTCCTACACCAATTACTTTAACATTAATTCCTTCCCTCTTGGCCAAATAAGTCATCAAATGTGTGCGAAATGGTGAGACTGATCGACCATCGGTAACAATGACCATGTGTTTTGACGCGAAAGACCGTCCTTCCTCTCGCATCATTTTTCGCACGCGTCTAATGCCCAATGCAGTATTAGTTCCTTTTTTTGGATGTCGTAAATTTTTTGCCAACCTTTTCAATAAGTATTTTGATTTAAATGGTTGTAGGTGAACGATGTCACCTATCGTACTGCTAAATACCACAATACCAACATGCACAGACTTTTTCCCAATTTTGAAATTATCTATCATATTAGCCACAACATGTTTTTGTCGTCGGAAGTCCGCATCGGTGATACTGTTAGATCCATCAATTAAAAATACGATGTCCCTAGCAACATTACCTGCAAAACACAATCCGACTGGTTTTAAGAAGTCAAATCGATAAACAAAGATTATTATCTAGGGTGACACACATTAAGTGGGACTGTTGGTCAAAATGATGGAGGGAAATTCTTTTCTATATTAAATATTTTTTCTATTCTATAGTTCGTTTTTTTTTTTGTTGACTGTCATTCTCAGTATACTCTCTATCAATTTATACATTATTCTAATATTTTTTTTCAAATAAAAAGAAATATAATTTAACCCTGTTTAGCTTCACACCAATGCCACATGAAAGGCGGGATCTGCTTACCCGTCCGGAGCACCTGAAACCAATCATCCCCGTTTTTAGGGGTTGGTGTTGCTCAGTCATTATTTTTCTATGTTGTGTTTTGTTTATTGTAGTTATGTCTTTTAGTCTTTTTTTTTGTGCCAGGGTTTGTTTTCTACTAATGAGTTTGAATGTCCATTCTAATATATTTTTTTTTCAAATAAAGAAAAGTAAGTTAACCCTATTTAGCTTCATTTCAATGCCACATGAGAAGCGGAATCTGCTTACCCGTCCGGAGCACCTGAGATCACCACCAGTTTTCGTTGTGGTTCGTTTTTCTCAGCCTTTATTTTTCTATGTTGTGATTGGTTGATTGTTTTTCTGTCAATTGGTTTCTTTTTTGTTGCCATGGCGTTGTCAGTTTGTGTACTACTAATGAGTTTGAATATCCCTTTGATATCTTTCGCCTCTCTTCAATTATATCTTTACAAAAGTTTCCGAAATGTTTTTGTAAAATTTTGCGTGTGGTCCTATAGTGGTTTTTCTTAGATGAAATCTCGTTGTCCGTAGTGTTGGTCTTCACTAGCGCTCAAACACGTAGTTAAGCACAAATCGTACATGTATTACATAAACATTTGATCTTTTCCCACTAAACCTGTAGTTTTTAATGAATATTTTTACACTTTGCCCATGCATGATTGTTTTCTAATTGCCACGTGCAGAGGAATGAAATATTCGCACTTTTGTCTTATACATGTAGTTAATATGGTCGTAGGGAAAGGATAGCTGAATAAAAGTTGCAAAATAGTCGTCATTTATCGTATGAAAATAAAAATAGTATAAAAAAAATATCGAGATGAGGTATTATTACCAATGAAACAACTACCCACTAGAGACCAAATGACTTAGATGTTAGCAACTTAAACCTCTTTATCGCGTCTGGCGTATATACAAAATTTCAATCCTGGTATCTATGATGAGTTTACTTATATGAAACTTATCAATAAAATATTGAAATAAAAACAGATGCACATTCAAATGTATTTGAATAATATCATTGCATCACCAATACTTAAATAAAATGGAAGAAGTCTAAACATTTCGAGAAAGATTTTGTTTGTATTAATTTTAGGACTACCTGAACCTCAAAGTAAGCTCAAAACAAATAATAGTCAAGGAATTACCTAGATATAATGACTAGAGGAGAAGGAAACAATTAAGTATATTCACTGCTCATCAATAACAAAAACATCGGATTAAAAGTCCACATGAAACAATACATAGTACCTGAGATAGGGGACTCGCATTCGAGTAATAAACTATAAAATATAAATGTTTTTTTCTTGTCTTGAATTAAAGTTTCTTATATTGTGTTTTGTTTATTTTGTCACAAATCAGGAAAAGCCAACAAGACTATGGCAAATAACGAAAAACGCAGAAAGACCAAGAACAATCTACAAATCACTACATAAACAACTAAAGACAGAGCACAATGAACTATACACGGGGGTTCATCTTGTGTACTTTTGAATAAGGTTATCCTTTTCCTCACCCGTGGTGTTGATCATTGGATGCATAATTTTCTTTAGATCGGACCTGGGTGTAGGGGGAGGGTTGAGATCTTACATATCAAATTGACCCCCGCTGCATTTTTGCGCCTGCCCAAAGTCTGGAACCTCTAGCGTTTGTTAGTCTTGTGTGTTTTATTAATTTTGATTCATTTGTATGTTTCGGAGTTTAGTGTGGCCTCCATATCGTTGAACTAGTCTATACTATTGATAAGGGGCCAGCTGAAACCCGCCGTCGGGTTCGGGATTTTCGCGCTGCGTTGAAGACCCATTAGCGGACTTAGGCTCTGTTCTGCTCTTTGGTATGGTTGTTGTCTCTTTAACACATTCCCCGTTTTCATTCTCTATTCTATTAACATATGAGAGTCATTTCGCTTTGGAAATGTGCAACTCCTCATAATTATAAAACTTACCGTGTTGATGTGAATTTCGAACAATGAAACATATTAAAACTATAAATAGCAATATCTTCATCTGAAAAATAGTCAAAATATAAGTTAGGTGTAAAAACTACAATTTTCATTGTCAGGTAAAAAACAGTATTTTTTTTTTTTTTTAGTTTTTATTTTATTTTTTTTAATTTATCATATTTTATTGAAATCTGTACATTTGTTAGTTGGAAAACATCAAGTACCGGTACCTTATCCCGGCCTCGTTAACATTAGTAAATAACATATTTATACAGCTGTGAGTATTTGTTAGTAATATACATACAATTTTACATACTTTTAAAATTATATGCCAGGTCAGTAAAATCAAATAAGAAGCTTACTACTAAGATTATCAAACATATAATTATATAATTTAACAAATGCACAAGTTATGAAAAATATAGAGTTTGCGTTGTTTTAGTAGTAAAATATAAAAATAATGAATAATAAACAGAAACAAAAACAAAAACAAATAATTGAAAGAAAAAAAGAGAAAAAAAAGTAATTCAGAAGAATTTTAAAGAAATCAAAAGTTGTTTTGTTTGTTTGTTTTTTTTTTTATTTGTACAGATGAATTATAGTTTTTTCTCATATAAGCGCCAATAAATCATACGACAATTTTATTTTTACTAATTTATGTACATATACCCATTGTAAACAAAAATAACTGATCATTCACTGAATAGAATGGCAAAAGCAGTCCAACTCTTGTCAAAAATATCCATTATTTTAGTATTTTAACAGCAATTAATTTTTCAATGCTGAATAAAGACTTTATTTTACTTTGCACTGCTTGGAATGTTAAAGCTTTTTAAAAATATTTGCAGTTGAATAGGTGCATTACAAATAAAAGTAAAATTAAGCCCATTAATCTTTAATTTTTTTAACAAGTTCTTGATTTAGATTTGGGAATGTAATTATAACGTGATTAAGGACAGGTAAAATCAGAGTTTTCACAACTGTAATTTTACCTATTACTGTAAGATTTCTTTTTGACCATATCTTAATTAGATTTTTTATCTGCAAAACTCTCTCATTATAATTAATGTTAATAATTTTGTCAAGATCAACATCAAAATTAATACCCAATAACTTAAAAGATGTTGTACCCCAAGATAAATTTCTGTTTCGACATAGTATATCACTACAGTATTTTATACTCCAATCCAAACTACCTGTGTTTTATAAAAGTTTATATTTAGAAAGTTTTGCATACCAATCTAATTCATTTAAAGTTTTATTTATAGACTGTTCACTTCAATCTAAAATAAGTGAAGTATCATCTGCAAACTGTGATAACTTATGTTCTATCCTACTCACAGTTATATCAGTAATATTTCTATTCCCCCGTATTCGGATTTCTGCAAATAGTATAAAAAAGTAGGGTGACAAGGTGTCCCCTTGTCTACAGCCACGTCCTATTTAAAAAGAAGTCTGAAAGATTTTCCCCTTGAAAGACTGCAGATGAAATATTATTATAAAATATTTAAACCCAGATATAATAATATATTCACATAAATTGAAAAATTGCAATACTGATACCAGAAAGTCCAAAGATAGAGATTGAAATGCTTTTTTCAAAATCAATTAAAAGCCATAAAACTAGAATGCTATGTTCTCCTGTATACTGTAAAAGATAATAAATCAATCTAATGTTATCCCCAATAAAACGTCCATTGATGAAGCCAGTTTGATCTAAATCAACCAGTTTGTCTAGAACTTCTTAGAAGCTACTAGCAATAACCCCTGAACCAATTTTGTATACAATATTCAGCAAGGAGATATGTCTCCAATTTTTGAGTAAATGTCTTGGTTTATTCTCTTTTGATAAGCATGTAATGATACACTGCCCTTGAGTTACTGATAAGAATACTAAATTCGACCCATAATTTAACAACAAATGATTTTAAATCTTTCCAGAAAAACTTTAAAAAATCTGTTAAAAAACCATCTGACCCTGGTGATTTATTATTATTTATTTTCTGCCAACTAAGGCTGGCTTCAGTTATAGTTATCCCCCCTTCTAAATTCAACTGTTCATTCACTGATAATTTAATCTTTCATGTCTCTTTATTAATCACCCATTTTACACAAATTGCCACTTTTATCACATTTTTGTATATAAGATTTCATAAAAGTCTTTTGTCTCCTTTCAAATATCAAATTGGTTTGTAATAATTTGCCCGTCATCCTTTTCTACTTTGAGAATTATTTTGATTCTAGACCACAAAATTACTTTGTAGGTTTCTTCAATCCACTGAACTCTAGAGCGTATAAATTTCCCCCTAATGTTTTCTTTTCTTATACTTTATAATTCTTGGGTTTTTTTTTTATTTCTAAGCTATGTACTGAATTTTCTTCTAGTGCAGCTTCTTATATTTCAATATCACATAATTTTTTTTTTCTTTTTTATTCCTTTGTTTTTTCTTGTAGCTTGAATAAGAGATTGATTGATTTTGATTTTAACGCCACTTTTAAGCACCGCTTTTGGGCTATTTCGTGGCGGCCAGTTTTTATTGGTGGAGGAAACCGGAGTGCCCAGAGAAAACCACCGACCTTAGATAGGGAAACTGACAATCCTAGTCAATTAAGATTGGAGTCGAAAGCACCCGCACGAGCGGGGCTCGAACTCACAACCTCAGTGTTGAATGGCTAGTGATTACAGTAGTAACTACTTAGACCACTCGTCCACTGAGGCCCCCTAAATAAGAGATTGTTTTACCTCTTATTTCTAACAATAAAGAAACAACTGACTATCTATAGTAAAATGAAAAATTATTACTTGATTTTTTTTATATCACACATTAACAACAATTATTGATAAGCTCTTACATGTTTTTTTTTTTTTTTTTTTTTTTGGATTTTCTATTATTTTCGCCTCACTGAAGATAACATTTATTTTTTTACAATCACTGAGGAGACGTTTATTGTCCAAATGCACAAATTGTTGCTGATTATGTTATTAATCGAAACAAAGTGATATTTTCTTAAAAAAAATATCATAAAATACAAATTTGCTTGATCTATATATCACACAAGGAGTTATCGTCAGCAAATGTTTCACCAACAATTACACTTTCAAATTGTCTTTGAGCTTTTTTGTAACATTTCAAATATCAAAATCTTTTTGTGCGCATAGTTTTTTTTCTATCTTGTGATCGTGACATTTTGCAACTTTACGTATACAGGCTTGTAGTTTAAATCTCCGTATGTGTGTCACATTAAAGTGTAAATAAAAATTAACTGGATATTTTGGCTTTGAACAACAAGATATTACATATATCACATTACCTATGAAACAATCTAATATATATCGCTTTATCTTTACAATTGTTATTCTTATCATTTTTACAAATTCTGCTACATTTATCATTAAGTTAAAAGATTACAGCAATTAAAACATTGAAGGAAATGTTAGAATAACTGTTTTAAGAATCAAAGTATTGAAATATAATATATGAAAGCGAATTTTGATTTTACATTTCTCTTAGAATAACAGGAAGGAATGAATTCAAAATATAAAATTCCATACCTTGGACAAAAAGTCCTCTCCGTGTTAGCTTACCAAACGGCACACAAATTTGTCCCTGTGTAACGGTTTAACCTTCGCCTTTTATTTCAATACGCCAAACTACATTTCTGGGTGTAATCACGATTTGCTAAATCTGGATCTGCACCAGACACCGAATTTATTCTGTTGACAAGATGCATTTGCCCAGAAGCTAAACGCCGACATTCTCATTTGTTTCTATTGTAAACGGCACTGGGGCATATGAGGGATAAAGCCAGTATGAAATTGCTAAAAATGGTGCCAAGATGTGTTTATTTTCAGATGTATATGCCAAAGATTTCCTTATTTTCAATTTACAATGTTCAGAAGAAAAGATGATATTTATGAACCATAAAAAAAAAACAGTATATGTATTACATTTTCATAATATATACAATGTAAAACAAATCTGAAAGATGACTTAGTCCTTGAACATCATTGTCGAGGGAATTTTTGAAATATATACTTTTTAGAGAGATAAATTATACTATGTAAAATAAAACATTCTGATTCAAACAAAATTTTTTTCTGAAATTGACATTATGTCGATGCATGATTTCTTCATTGACAACATTTTTGTTACGTTTGTAGACTTGTTTTTCAACAAACAATCGGCAATTGTGTTTTTTTAGTCATATGAGTCAGACATCATACAGGAGCTTATAAGGAAGAATGAAAACAAGCTAGCATTATCTTTTAACTGCATATTCCGCTATAAAGAACTTCTCAATTTTGAATTTTCCATTGCTATGTAGCAACATTAATTAGCACCTTCAAATTGAGTATATATCTCCCAATTGATTCTATATTCTAGAGTTTTCCTATGATGATTTCTTTGATAGAGGATTGCTGCTTAAAAGGACGCTATTAAACCAAGAGTTCCAGTTGTTTTAATTGAAGTTATCTCTTCAAAAGTTTTACGGAATCCATTACAATGTTCAAATCTCATAAATCGATTAAGAGGAAACACATCAAGATAACAAATAAAGTCTGCGGAAATCGCATGAGCTCCGTAAGAAGGAGATCGAATGCGTCGACAGGGTATGCGACGACATGGTATGCGTCGACAGGGTATGCGTCGACAGGGTATGCGACTCCTGCTATGGATGCATTACCCGTCACACTAATCCACACTTAGAATATTACTTCATGAGAACCACTAACCTTCCGGAGGAAAACTGCGCATTCTTATAAATTATTATCGGCGTCAAACGCACATTGCAAGGAGCTGGGTTTGAACTCACAACATCATCGTTTACAGGCTAGTGATCACTGTAGTAGAACTGCTTATTGTGTCTAGATTCCAAAGGTATCTTATTTTGTTTTATATTATTTGCACCGAAAATTACTGATGATAAAATAAATGTATTAAAAGTTGAGAGTACTTAAACAGCTTTAATTTTTGTTTCCAAGATACCGTTTTAGCCTTTTTTTCTTTGATTTTGTAAATTTTTACAAGTCAAAACCTTTATATATAAGCAGTATATCGATGATCAAACAGAATTAAATAAAAATATGTTAAAACTGTTAATGCTGTACAGAAAAAACATTTGTTTAAATGTGAATATGCTGCTAATTTATAGATATCAATGAAAAAATATGTTTCTTGTCATTTTAAAAACTAAAAAATGATTTGAGCATGTTTTTGTTCATAATTTTATTACATATAGTTTAAAAAGCCATTTTTGTTAATCTTATATTGTATTTTTTCATAGTTTTTGAGTGAAAAAAAGGTGTCAATGTTAAATCATGAAAGTATTATATTGGCAGGAACTCCAATATACCGACTTCAAACGTTTATAGTGCGATGCCGCAAAATCGTTAAGTTTCTGTCAATTAACTCGACATGGCATATAGATGCATGGGTTCAATCAAATTTTTGGAACATCGTGATTGATCGTATTTACGGAACATACCGAAATAACCGTATGTGTACTTAATTGTTAAGGAAGTGACATTTAACGACCATGTCACTAAATGATAAATATGTCAGTTTTGACGAGTTTTGCTGCGTTAAAATAAATAAAAAGAAATAAACAAAAATCCTTCGACTGTTTTAAAAAAAAAACTGAAGAGTGAAAATACTCTCAAGCCATGAACATTTAAGTTTTAGTTACAATAAATTCAAATGATAGTAAGGTTTTTATTCAAGAGAGGGCTGTTGGCTATGCATGCATAACTGTTACAATATACATGCTAGGCTCGAAAATCATAAAAAAAGGGCTTTGATCGGGAAAAAAATATGATATTTTGGCATAATGAAATAACGCATGGGCAATCATATCACTATCTCCTTCTTTTAAAATTAGCTTGAATAACAATAAATTCCTTGCGTAAAGAAAAAAAACAGTTGTAATCTGCATCTGAGTTTTAATGCTAAAATTTGACAAATATTTTGATTAATTGTTTATTGAAAGTCAAATGACAAATATTTCTGCAATTCAACAAGAGACAAGTCATTCCTAAAAAAAATTCTGTCAGGCGTCAGATCGAGCAATCCCGGACTAGGTTGAAGGTTGAAAGTTGTTTTTTAACTTTTGAATTATTATAAAAGGTGTAACAATTCATCTGTCTCGTCATCTGATACATGCTATGTAGAGGTCATTACGTGCTTGTAATTATTAAACTTTTTTAGTCTTTAAAACATATGTGATAAATACGTTAATAACATTTTTCTACACTGAGACGATAGAGAAAACCATTAATATTCTTGTAAAAATTAAATCACAAAAATACTGAACTCCGAGGAAAATTCAAAACGGAAAGTCCCCAATCAAATGGCAAAATCAAAAGCACAAACACATCAAACGAATGGACAACAACTGTCATATTCCTGACTTGGTACAGGCATTTTCTTATGTAGAAAATGGTGGATTGAACCTGAAAATGGTGGATTGTAACAATCGATAAAAATTTACAACCTTTAACGTAAATTTCAGCGATCCTTCGCCATCTTACACACTACATGCGCATCACTTTATTTTCCGCAAACACCCAACTTCAGGTACATGTTATTTTTAATATCGGATATTTCCCGATTTCCAAGTTCCAATGATTAAAACATATTAAACAATACAAAAAATACTCTTGCCCTCTTTCCGAATGCAGTTAATTTTCTTATGTCATTCTGTTAAATATGGACCGATTTTTCAGATGTTTTCAGCTTTTGCCTTCATTTATTAAACGGAAACAGTTGTAGTTATTCATGTGGCGATTCACAAATAAACACGGGAGTACGTTTTATTCGCTCGTGTTCCCTTTATCATGCTTCTCAGTTGACCACATTTGTTTACAGTAATCTATTCTGTCGTACATTCTTATTTTGCGTTCTTATCTCTAATATTGCTTAAATCCTAAATATGACTTCTACATCAGACTCAAAATCTCATTCATTTCATTACATCTCAAAACAACAAATAAGTGTAACTAAGTTTTAGTCGCTCATCCGTTGCGTACATTCTTGTGATGATTTTGTAGCTTCGTTAACAATTTAGGTTCACTGCGGCCTTTAAACTTGTCCACAAGTAAACCAATCTTGATCTGAAATTGTCATTTTGATCTGAACAGTTCTTATACGATTTAACAATATCTCAAAATGTATCAATGTTTAGTTTTTCGGTAAATTTTCAAACTTGTCTACTGCGGAAAATTCAGTACTGTGCAAATAATTCGCTTGCAGTCAATAAAGATTTGTTCAGACAATGTTCATGCTGTTCAGTAGTTGGTATTTACCTGTACAAACAACAGCAAACTCAGTTTTCTTAAAAACCTACTGAACCGTCCTGGATTGACTGCGAGCAAAATATCTAAACAGTACTGAATTTACAACAAAAAATATCTTAAAAGTTTCTTAAACTCTTGTCAAGATATAACGTTTTTATGTTTAGACTTTTTAGATACTGTTAAGATCAAAATGACTGTTTCAAGCTTAAATTCATTTACTAGTGTTGTAATATTTATCATTGTCAAGGCATTACTCGCTTAAACTTATATATGCTATCGTTTAGCAAAATTCGCCAATGATGTCGGTCTACAACGATTACATGTTGTTTTTGGTTTCCTTAATTAATAGAACAATGTACGCCTGTGCATTCATAGGGTTAATCCAGGTTTATTTGAATATTTGTTGGGTTTTCACATGAGTTTTTGTCGGACCGACACAAATTCCACTTCTTGATCAAAAGTAAATTATCGCGAAAAATAATTGTAACGTCAAGATTTGCACCAAAATAGCTTTCATTCGTATTCATATGAAAGTGTACTATATTGAAAACATATTGTCATTTTTTTTTTTTTTTTTGGAAGCCGTAGAAATTGCTTCTTTAAACTTAATGGCTCTACTCTGATTTAGCATCACATTTCACCAAATGAATATCTCTCGTTGGCATGTGATTCCATCATTTAAATGAAATTCAGCAGATATATGTGTAAGACTCACATCTAATCGAAGTTCGTCCCTCAAATCGACGTCCAAATCTGACTTCATAATGAAATAAGATTCCAAATCGACGGCCAATTCTATGACCCTCTAATTGACGTCTTTCTGGTTTTTTGTCAAATCGACGTCTAATATTTGGCTTCTCTATTTGACGTCCTTTTTACAGAGTTGCCGCAATGAAGTCACTACTTTATTTAATTATAACAACTGTCAAGTTCCTGTTTAGTTACAGGCATTTTTCGAATGCAAATGGTTGGTTGAAACTTAAACTAAAAATTTGTTAAAACATAAGATTTTAAATCTTGCAGATTCCAAATAATTATACTTTTCAACAATTGACTCTTCTTCTTTATTCTGTCTATTGTTTGAGACTGTGTATTGTCCTGTTGTTGACGTTCGGATGTATTTGTCGTTGGGTTGTTGTCTCATTGTCATATACCCACATGTCATTTATCTATATGAAAATGAAAGGAATAAGACAACGTGAGCGAATGGATAAATTACTTTCGCCAAAATACTAACCTGTATGTACATGTGATATGATGTTGGTGGTTGTCTTAATTATTACTATTCATTGATATTTGTTCTTAATTAGTATTTAGCCAATTATTTAAGACGAAATTTGGCCTAATTTCTTTTTAAATACACGCCAACTAAGTCATTATGATTAGTAAAGTATAAAGATATAGGAAAACAACTAGTTTTTTAAGCAGATTTACACAAAGATAAAACGATACAGGTAATATGAACAACGGTCAAACTCAGAATACATGATTAAATCTTATTGAACGTCGCGACGTCTTATTTGTTATACATGACGTCATTTTGGACGTCGATTTGAAGGTACAAATATTAGACACTGACTTGAGAACGTGACTTAACATTGTACGTCGATTTTAGGAATCGATGTCGATTACAGATCGGACGTCGATCTGATTCGAACATATTTAAACTTGACTTTTGCTATTCACATTTTGTTTATACTATGGGAACTTGTATTTGTTCATTGTCATGCCAGTATAGTATAATTTTGTATTTCTTTTTTTTTAAAAAACCTATTGTGCACAATATTAATCTTCAATGATTGTTTATTGATTAGTTATATTATGGTTTTAAATAATTTTGTGAAAAAAAATCTCTATTTATTCAATTTAAGTATGAACGAGAAATTCTTCTATACTTTTTTTATCTCACATCAGTATCAACCCGAGGCATTAATAGAATAAAGGGAAATATGCTCGAGTGATTAAACTTAGTAGTAAGTAAAAAACTAATTTTTTATGTTGTAAAATCAATGGTAATCTTTCTGTATAAGGTATCCGTACTGAATGATATCAGTCAAGCTTGCATGGTATCAAACCCCATAAGAAATAACATTTGCTGTGGGTGTACAAACTCATTATAGTTGAAATTGTGTACGCGTTTCGTCTACAAGAGACTCATCAGTGACGCTTGAATAAAAACAATCTAAAGGGCGAAAATAAAGTACCAATTTGAAGAGAATTTAGGAGCCAAAATTCCGAGAGGTTTTGCCAAATAAAGCTTAGGAAATCTATTTCTGGCATAGACAATCCTTAGAATTTTGAGAAAATTCAAAGTTTTGTAAACAGTTAATTTATAATTATGACCGCATCAATGATAATTCATGTCAACTCTGAAGTGATGACTACAACAATTTCAAGCATCGAATTAACCCTCAACCAATATAATCCCTCGTACAGAACCGTCTGAATTATATTTGTGAATCTGGTTAATAAGGATGTGATACATGAATCGTAAAAGCCATATGATATATTCTATTTATTATGTACGTTTTTTTTTTTTCTGTTTCGGTTTGATAAAGCTTATGCAATCTTCACTGATTTGTATATCGATATGAATCAGCACGTTATGCTTAAAATGTCGACGCACATTGCCTCAATCAACTTGTTCTCTGTCTTTAAGGGCTCTGTATTTTTGTTATTACTTTTTTTTTCATAAATTAAGGCGACAGCAGTTTACCAATGTGCAAATCTCGTAGAGCGATTGTAAATAGACAAATCAAGGTAACAAACAAACCCCGAGGGAATCACATAAAACTTAAAGAGGAACGAGACCGGGTGCGTCGACAGGGTAAGCGTCTCCTAGACATATAACATAAACATCTTCATCTTCTGTGCGTAACTTTATATTTTCAGACGGATGCAGTTATCCATTCGGTCGAGTTCGTTCAGGATGCTATCTTCTACAAAAAGATAACATTATTGCCGGTAAAGCTTTTGTACGTTATCTTATCCTTCTTTCCGCAGTACTCAACTAGTTAACGATAATAGCCTTTGTTGCGAAATGCTGTTGACATAAGGATTTGGACTTTCAGTCAAAATACGTACGACGTGGTGCATATTTGGCGAACTTTGAAACTCTAAATCAAGCAATGTTGATGAAGTATGAACTCTGAAAAGTAAACATAGCTAATGTTAAGGTGAGGAAAAGGAGTAGAACACTAACAAATTAAGGTTGTGGATTGCAAGTCAGTGAAAAGGGTGATTTAATATCTCTCAAGGCTGACATTCAAACTACATGTATCTGCTGAGCCTATTTCGAAAATGTGTTGGAAAACAGCTAACACACATAAGAAAAATCCTGCACAAAGCAGCTACCAACAGGATGACCGCTCATTCTAACTACGAAATAAAAACTGGCCCGTGATTTGGAAAGCCGGCTTATATGTTTTAAATACTTAATGAGGCTAGCTAAGGTAAACAAATAACTCATGTTTAATAGATTGTGAATTTAAATGTCTGTTGTCAAAATGATGTACCCCTACACTTATAGCGAGACGTGTTAATTGGTTAATTATTTCATAAAAAGGTATCAGTTATTTAGGATTGTTTTCCAGATGAGGAAATGATTCACAAAGTTTGTATTTAGATATTTATACAATGTCTAGTTGCTGTTAGTTTTCTGCACGTGAACGCTAAACTGCATACCTAGAGACCAAAACACTTCTAAATTGACAACAAACACAATGCATTAATACTCCGGGTGCGGGAATTTCTCGCTGCATTGAAGACCTGTTGGTGACCTTCTGCTGTTGTCTGTTCTATGGTCGGGTTGTTGTCTCTTTGACACATTCCCCATTTCCATTTTTAACTTTATACTACTTTATTCACTATTATAACTTATACATCAGAAGGATCACATGAATCTAAAATTGTAAAAAGAAAGGTAAGCCCATAAAAGGGACCTGAACAGAACAGATAAATAGATTATAACAGCAGTTTATCGATGTTCAATTTTCGAAAATCCATTTTGAATTACATACTAGTATATAGTAATAAATTTTGATATCATTGGTTATTCGACAACTTTTCACCAGAGTTCAAGTAACGAAGATAAAAGCAAGTATAGGTCACCATATGGCCTTCACCAAAGAGGAAAATCCGCATCGTATAGTTAGCTATAAAAGTCCCCGACATGTTAAATGTGACACAATTTAAACAAGAAAACTAACTGCCTAATTTAAACAATACAATTTACGAAAAACAAATATGACAGACATGAACCAACGACCAATGACAATCAGCAGTACCATCATATCGTAGGTCAACTACAACGCGTTTTTCATCACGTTACAATGAATTTGCAACAGGTTCCATATGTTCAAATGCATCACAAAACATGAAAATGAAAAACAATTAAATGGACTCAGACTTAAGTTCGGTTTGTCAAAAGTAGATAATTGATAACTATGTTACTGATTTATACCATTTGAATATGTCTCACATGTTTTTTAGCTGTCTTAGATCTTTAGATACCAGAATAATCGTTTGTTCGGAAGGTTTACCGATTGTGTACTTTTCCTGATTGTGACACTTTGACTGACTGCAGAAACTACTGTTGCCTTTTTTTTTCAAACAAATATGATCAAATTGAGCATTGAAGGACCTTCACAATAGATAATGAAATAGTCTAATTAATACTTTGCCTTGGACAATACACTTGCATGTACATCAAGACTGTTGCTTCGAAAGTGTAAAAATATTGATTCTGACGTATAATATACCAAATATGATATGTGTATTGAGAGGGATACATATAACGAACGAGAAAAATCAAAACGAATTTGGACCTGCAAATATATGTCAAAACGAACAACATCATCTACCAAAATGCTAAAGAATATTAAAGGCCTGATAAATTTCTTGCATAGGCAGACAGGTACATATAGATAGAATTATCTTACTACAATACTCTAAATGAGTGAGAGAATAAGACAAAATAATTTGTTTCAATGTCGGTAAAGGGCTATTTTTATATGCATTTATAAAAACGAAATGATTAATTGTATTGTTATTTAACGGGCCAGTCATTTTTCTTCAGTATATTTCTTTTTATCAGTTCATGCTAGTAATCTCGTTACAAGAAAAGAAATCTAACCAAAATATTAGTTCATTCTTTCTTTCTGGTTTCTGCAAAATTTGTGTGCCATTTTATGAGTTTGAGATTCTATCAATAATCAATAATATAATAAGGTCAGTATATTACTTTTCGTTAGGTACCATTATTATTCAAATGATACACTGTAAATGAATTTGCAAGGCATATGAATATTCTATTCTGGTATGTGATTCAATATTTGCATTGTTGCAAAAAGGTCAAAGTACATGATATTAATTTTACGAAATATGTTTCCATCATTAAAATGACATTTAATCAGGTATATAAACACTAAGCACACTGTTAATATCGACATTCATTTTGGAAATATCCACAATTTTATCCATGTATTGTTTGTTTATATTATGTGGACTAGGTTTGATTTTTTGTCATGCTGGTATGGTAACATATTTTTTCTGTTTGTTCCTTTTTTACAAACAAATATCGATTTACCACTCTATTTATCCTGAAATATTGACAGTTTGATTCGTTTTAAACTTCTCTGATAATCTGTGAAGAAAAGCCCTTGGTCGTTAATAGTATGTTCACCACTTCATTTTATTTGGTAATGGGTAAATGCTGCTCAATTACAACTATTATTCTTTTAAAAAACATATAATGCATTATGCTTGAAATTATGAAAAAATCATTATAGGTCATTTTCTTGGGTTTTTTTTCAAATTAAATTGAAATGAACAATTGATATTTTTGAACACATATTTTTGGATTTTTCTAATAATACGCTTGGGAAAAACGAAGTATTGGACAGCTTTAAAGATATAATAGAAATAACTGAAATTGCCAAGTATTTCACAGATGGGTCATACTGTTGTAGGAATAGAAAAAACCCAAAGAGGATTAAAAAATTTAACACAAGACAAACAATGTATCTGGATATACTGATCATTTCAAGGCACAATGTCTCACTTCATATCAATGTAATAGAGCTTCGTATGCCGTCCATATCTTCTTTTCCTTCATCACCAAGAATTCTGCTTTTGGAATTTTTTTTAAATTAAGATCTCTATTTTATATTTACAGATGCATGTAGTTACCCATACCGACGAGTTGGTAAAGGATGTTATCTTATACAAAAAGATAATATATCAGGCGATGATGCTTTTGTAAGTAATTTCTAAATTTCTTAAAGAAAAACAAAGTTTTACAAAGCATTCGACCGATAGAAATACATGGATATATAGACAAAGGGGGCGCACGTAAACCATATTTAGCCACACTTCATTTTTTGCCTGAACCAAGTAAAAAATCTGGCTATTGCGATTATTTAATGTTCGTTGTTGATTTCTTTGTTTGTATGTATGTTTTCCGATACGGAAGTCGGTTTTTGGGTCCTCAATGCTCAGCAACTTAGTACTTTATTTGGCCTTTTTAACTTTTTTCGTTACTGATGTGTATTTTGTAGACGAAACGCGCGTCTGGCTTACAAACTTTTAATCCTGGTATCTATTATGAGTTTATTTGTTGGTTGATGTGGTATGCTGTACTGTGGATTAATTTTACGATTCTTGTTTTCCCTGTGTATGTGTTAAGTCTAAAAACAGAAGATGTGATATAATTGTCAATGATATAAGAATCCGCCAAACACCAAATAACCAGGGTGTTAACAACTACATATCACTGTACTGCTTTGAAAAATTTTGAAATCTTATAACGTGTAAAAAGCTTCAAAATAAGATTTAAAGTCTCCTAGTAATTCATAATATATATTAATTTTATTTCATTTCCCTGACTTGTGACTCTAATATTTTAAGTACTCTTAGCTACACAATCTTTTTGTCGTCATCCTTGTTAAATTTATTTGTATGTCTGTTTCAATTTTTTAGTCATCCCAATTATTGACACATTAACATATCATATAAAAATAAAAAAGAAGTGGTATGATTGCCAATGAGACAACTATCCACAAAACTTCAATTGAAGTGGATGAAAGCAATTATAGGGAACCGTACGACCTTCAACAATGAGAAAATCCTATACCGTATAGTCGGCAATAAAAGGCCCCGATATGAACAGTATGAAACAATTAAATTGAGAAAAACTAACGGCCTAATTTATAACAAAACAACTATAGAAAAACAAATATGACAGAGATCACGTGTGGACTCACTTGTCTTATAAATACACGACTTTAAACTCTTTTATACGTTATTTTGCTTAAAATCTTTCATGTTTTCAGGCAAAATGCTTACGACGTGGTGCATATCTGGCGAACTTTGAAACCCTAAATGAAGCAATGTTGATGAAGTATGAACTCTTAAAAATGAACACAGGTAATTTATACAATGCAAATGTTGTAACTATCATCCTCATAATAAAACAACAAACAAGTATATTTATAATTAAATATATGCTAGTTATGATTACATGTAGATCATGTCACAATGTCACAATGTCGTCTGTAATTTAAGATTTTATTTATTAACGAATTTAACTTAATCCCCTTGTTTCATGTATACTACATTTATTTATAGTAAGTTACATGTGCTTTAATGCTTTACTGCAATAAAATTTTAATTGGCTACAGATGAAATGTCCTAGCACTAGCAGATTCGACGGTTCAAGGATTTCTGGGTATGAAGGGGTTGTATGTTCAGACATAAGCGATCCGTTAAATATGCCTATTACATAGTACACACTTGCAATTGTCTTTTATTTTTATTTCAAAGGTGTGCATTATTATGTCGGTGCACGTAACATCAATAGATATAAGACCGGTGGTGATTGGAGATGGATCAAGAAGGACGGCGAGATGGTCAAAATGACTTACTTTGCATTTGATGGTGGAGAACCAAATGGATCATTCAGTTCACCGGAAGATTGCATGCTTTTCCTTGGTTCTAGACGATACAGGTTCCACAATGTTTGGTGCGCAAACGGTGGTTTACTTGGAGGTTATATTTGCGAAAAATAAATTAATTATAAAATATTGTGATTTTTTTTTATTTTTGTTGTCCATTTGTTATCTGATTTGAAATCTCTAAAATATATATAAGAACAAAAAAAAATCGAGCCCGGACATAAAACCAGAGCTATGCATTAGGGAGATTTTCTCCTTCATTTTACTGAATTCAAAGTTGTTATTCGAACAATATCCGTATTTTTATGCCAGTATCGAAGTACTGAATACGTGGCTGGTGATACCCTCAGTGATTTAAAGTACACACGCAGGGGTATCTATTACCAAGGCGATTATTCCAACTTTCCAATTGTCAACTTCTCATTTCTCAATAGAACGATACACTCTGCTCCGTCGGATGGCGTTTAAATACTAAATTTATACATTATGATCATGCATGTTCACATATTCAGACTTCATGAACAGGGTGTGATCCTACAGAGGAATTAGGAAGAACGACTGAAATCGACACGTTGACCGATACGATGTGTCCGTTTCTCAGCTCACTAGTGACATGTCTTCGCGGTCCTAAATTTTAACATACAGGATACGCTCAACCTGTCGACACAACCAGTCTCGCTCTTTTTGGAGCTCATGCGATTCTCTGAGTTTGTGTGTGTACCCTTGATTTCTCTCTTTTTGTTCGATATACGAGATTTCAACGTCAGTAAAAATAATCGACTTGATTTTTATGTCTTATCTAAGACAGATGTTTTGTTCTTTAAAAATTGTAGAGATTCGAACATTGGTAAACTACTTTCTCTTTAGTTTACCGAACGAGAAAAATCACAGGAAATATGTCGTGCGTGATAAAATTGGTATCTCACATTCATATCAATGATTTCGGTATGGTCTACTGTGGTCTTATCTGTCACTTTCTCCTTAGATTACAAATTGTACCAAATCAGTTTGAATTCATTTTCCTGTAACTGATATTTTGTAATACACCTGTATTTTATTTGTATATGCATCTATTCGTCTGTAAGCTTTGTAATCGAAACTGCACTCGACCTATAAACTGAAGAAGGGAACTGATGATATTCAAATTGATTAAACTTGACATTTATTAAATCTAAATTGTAACAATGGTAATTTTGTATTTGAATTAAAGAAAACAATGTATTCTGCTTCGAACATTGATATTTTAGGCATTGATAAATATATCTGAATTCATTCTGTTTTAAAAGCGTTAAATCATTGTATATTAGAAATGCATAAATAATCGTCATGCAAGAATGTGCCTTACGTTAACGAAAACTAATGCATTTGAGATAATAATCGCATTAAACATTGACATACAAAGTAAACTATGTCAAAGAATACAAAAATAAGAAGATGTGGTATGATTGCAAATGAGACAAATCTCCACCAGATACCAAATTACGTAGAAGTTAACAAACATAGGTCAAAGTATGACCATATCATGTTGTATCGATTTCTGGTGTTCTTCGGCATTACTCAGTTGTGACAATTTTTATGTCGGAAGTACACCCTGTTAATTGAATCCGTATAGTGTAAACATGCACGAGATATGTTAAACCCATACGATGGGTCAGGGGCTATATGTTACTACGGAGAAATGGGAAGATGACGATTGGAATGTTGAAATCATTACATTTGTCGTAGAATTTAGTTTGAAGTCGTCCATCCGTGTCATTGTCGAGGGACGCAGTGGTGTTAAGGTTGTTCGCCACTTGAAAATGAACAAATATGGAGTGTTTTCATATTCAGTGTCCGGTAAACAAAAAGTTGTCTCCAATCATAGTATAGTCGGTGTGTATAAATACATTAGATGTAGTTCTTTGAAAAAAAAATCAAAATCTAGTTTTAGACCCAGGGAAAAAGTCACGTGACCACCCGAAATAGAAAGTAAAATACTGGAAAACAAATCGTAATAGAACATTGACATGCTGATGTGTAAATATATCGTTGAAGACACCTATGAATAGCCTATGGTCTAAAGTTCATTCAAAAATCATGGCAAAGTGTTGTTCTTAAAGATAATGCATAGAAAAACATATTCAAAGGTCCCATTTCACATTTTGTGCTTTTTTCAGTTACTCTTTCTGGGAAGCCAAAAAAAAATCGACCTCAGAGGCCAGTATGCCCTTGTTCTAATCGTTTTTATGACTGATTCGTCAGTATTTCAGTTAAATCGTCGATTTTAAAACGCTCAATTGACTTTCAATGTTCCAAATGAGTTACTTCCCTTTGGTAACTGAGAACGCTGATTTTTCCTTTTAATTAATAAAATGAGCTGCTGTTTTTCTGTCCGTATGATATATTTTTTTTTTCTAAACTCTTTCACCTTGAGTTTTATTTGTTTGGTTATCAGCACAATTGGATAAGCGTATCGCTATTTTCATATATGTGGTTGAAAAAAGGAGGAGGGGTCGGGAGGACAACACATTTCATCAACGAATTTTGAAATCTTCGTTTTCATATCTAGCATGTGAAGGCACTGATAGTTTATGAAATTTACTGTATGCAGTTAAAGTCAGATTCTTTCATTTATACGCCAGTAAAAAATAAGAAGATGTGGTCAGATTTCCAATGACAGTGAGACAACTATCCAGATAGGATATTCAAATATTGTGGATATAAGCAATAATAATTATAGGTCACTGTACAGTATTCATTAATGAAGTTTATTTTTTAAAAGTTAAATTTGAGTCTAGACATGGTTGAGGGGGGTCCTGCATTTCTGTCAATCTGTATTCTTTAATGTTTAGGTAATCTTTTCTGTTCTTTATTTTTTTTTTGCCTAATCACTATTACAGACACTTATCTTTAAAATTTAGCACCATATTATTCTCTTTTTTATTTTTTGGGCCTTCTTTTCACTATTCTTTTATTTTTTTTTTCTTCATTTTTCTGCAGTATTGGCCATTATACTCTAGTATTCTGTAAATCCCTCTCAGACTCTGATATATGTATCATACATGCTTTCCCTCAGAGTCAGAATTGTTGAATTTGTTCTGTTGTACTTGGTTCATTGTTTATTGTAATAATTTCATGTTGCCCCTAGATCATCATAGATGACCCATTGATTTTGAATGAACTATATTTATATGATCTATACTTTAGTTACACTAATGAGCAAATACATGTTTCAATGTTTTAAAAAATATCAACACAATCTTAACTGTCCAATTGGTCAATTTATCACTCAAAAGAATACAAGGTGAGAAGATTTGACTTGATTTGCATGACTAAATGGGGAAAAAGATTAACAAGCAGGAGATCAGTAGCCAAGGCTTGTACAGGTTTTGGACTTGGCCCCTAAATATTTTTAAGTTAATTGAAAATATCCTTAATGCTTATGTTAATCTTTCATATTTTCACAAGTTGGGCCCTATATTGATACCCTGTTGAATATAATATTCAGTTGGAGAGGTTTTTGCATAGTTATATTTGTAATTGTATATACCATGCTGATATGAAGACCCTTTTGATATATAGGTCTAAGTTCAAAATCTGCATTATAAGGTAAGAACTGGTTCTTCTCAGAATTGGTATATTTGACAAAGAATTAGAAATAATGTCTAATATGAGAACATTTATTGCTAAAAGCAAAGAAAAATTACATTAAAAGTTTCACTTAAATACATTTGTAGTTTTAATAATATCATAGAAAAAAAGGCACCTGTCAAACTGTTGATAAACATTTCCACTAGAACATAGTATAATATCCTAGAAGGAATAAATTATATTTCCTACCTCATTGATAACGAATGATTACCTACACTTTTATTTAATCACTTTATCCTTGAAGTACATGAATCACATCGAATTTCCCTTTTCCATTCACATTGCTTTATACTCATAGCAATTTTGAAGTAAAATTAACACATTTGTGGTGAACATTTAGAAAATTAATCCTCCCTTTTTAGGGTTTTCTCCAGTAGGCTTGATAACCTCTATGCTTTACTTTCAGTTTAAATATATAGGTCACTTTCTCACAGTTTGGATATATATATTCATTTGATCTGGAAAATATTAATAATGAAAATTAACAACTTGTTGGTCATAATGCTTGTAACTGTAAACAACCACCATAATCTAACACAAAACTTCACACATACATATAGATGTATTAAATAAATTGAAATATTTCAACTTCATTTATCCTCATTAATTAAATTAAAATAAATATACTATCATCATTATAACTTTTCCAAAGATTGTGATCACCATTATCATAAATGATGGTTCTAAACACACTATCAGTAAATCATCCTGATAACAAGACTTGTGAAATCAGGACCGAAGAAAATACACGAAACTGTTTGTAAACTTTAATGATGTACAGCTTTAAATTATTAAAAATTTTGATTGTTTTGAAGTTTAAACAAAAATTAACTGATCATATTTAAAAAGTGTTATTCTCATCATATATATTTATAATGACAGCAATAAGCATGAGCTTGAAGTTATATTCATAATTAAAGAGATGCATTTTGTTCAATTTCAATGTCTATAAATTCAAAATCTTGTACCAAATTTAAATTATAATCATTTATGCAAACAGTTTATTAAATGGAATTAGAGATTTTAAATTTAGTTTGAAATGACCAAAAAACTGGGGTTTAGGCTAAACTACTGATTAAATTTATAAAAAACCAAGTACATTTTGTACTATCATTGTTTAATCATTGACAATCATACCACATCTTCTTTTTTATACTGAAATTTACCTGTCTTGTTAATCCAATTGTCAATTGATGGCAAATTAATATCCTATTACAGCATACAGTCTGGTCACATCCTGTAAGAAAACAGAGAACACATAAATAATTGAAAGACTTTCTATGCAAAAATTAAATGGAACAATTTACTCAAACAATCTTGAACAAGCAAATAAAAGATTTATACATTTTTAATTAAAATGCTATCTTTATTTTATACAGTATAAACCTTTGTTATCTATATTTTCTTATTCCTGCTATATGATAAAGAATAAAAAAAATCCTTTTTCCTAAAACCATAAATAGTTACCCTGCTAGCTAGCTACATTTATATAATGTGCACACACTTACAAATATAAAGCTTGATACTGGATTTATATAGAGAAATAAATGACACATTCAGGAAAAGTGCAATAATGTATCATCAACATTTTTTCTGAATGAAAGTTACATTTATTTTAACAAAGATTTTCAAACCATGAAGTTTTTCATACAATATATTTCAACTTTCAATTATATTCAGAGTTATATTTTTACATCAAGAAATTGTTCATTCATAACTTTTCATTTGATAAGAGCTCAAAACTTTTATTTCTATATAACATGTATAAGTTTCCATGAAATAAAGTATCAATGAAATAAATACAAATTCATGTTTGTCTTATATACTTGTCTGATAAGACAAATCAGTAAATTTATGCTTTGTGTACATATTTAATTGATTTTTCTGAAATCAAATGGCAATTTATTGTACGTATTTAGAATTAAAGAACTCTACAAATAGTGTTATATGTACGAATCCAGATTTATTTTCGTCTAAAAAAACGAACACTTAGTGAACACGCGTTCACATTATAAAATAAACAGGATCAAGTTGGAATTGGATAACCTCCCCTTTTTTATCGAAAAAAAACATACCACCTAACAGTACGCGATTTTAACACATCGCATGAAGACAAACATAAGTTTTAAGTGATATTGTACTTACATTTGAATACTCATGATTGTGTATGAGTCTTGTTTTCCGTCAGGAACATCATTGAATCTTGTAAAATCCTCGTCAACAGCTGATTCGCAATTGTTTGTTTTGATGCCTTTTCAAGCTTTAAAATGACGTTGAGTGTAAGAATAAATGTGACGATAACCAATGGAAACGACTACAATGACTTCACAATGAGATTACGATAGAATCGTTGAAAATTCATGGAGAACTGCCTTAATATTACTGCGAAAAGATTAAGATACGAAACAGACCTTCTAAGTTTGGAAGCATCCTTAATCTCAATTTCACTTGGATATATAAGATTCAAGCTCTCACTACAATTTGAGATATTGAGTGACATGACATCTAATTAAAACTTCGGAAGATGTTTTATTTCTTTCTGTCTTTGAAAATGTGTTATAATTCTGCTTCATATGCATACACGGCAAATAAGGGGGCACAATAAGTACCTATTGCAGTATCGATATTTTGTTGAAATATCAATCCACCAAATTAAATACATATGTTGTCAATTAAAACGTTCAGCACTTTGATGATATCATCTTCGGTCTATTTTTAATTGAAATCAGTACATTTCTTCACAAAGTAAGATTTGTCATGACCTAAAACAAGAAATTTGTATAAATGCGCTGTTTAGTGAGAAGATGAATTCGATCTTTCAATTAAACCTGGAAAATAGTACTGTTAAGTGTAGAAACAAAAATGAAAAGTTTTTATATAACTTCAAACTTGTCAAGGTTGTAATTAAAGATTTAGCTTTTTTTTTTAATTTCCAGTATCATCATCTGATTGACCAAGTTCAACACTGTCAAAATCAGTTGTAGGGTAGAAATGTCAAAAATTGTTATGAGATAGTACTGCTACTGTCAGAAACTGTTCGAAATATGACACAATTAAAACTTGTGTACTGTGAATTGCTGTAGTTCTTCCTCATAAGACTGTTAAAGCAGTTTTTGTGTCAGAAGGACATCTCTATCAATTAAGTCCGTGTAGATGAGAACATGCACGAGCGAACAGTAATAGGCGAGGTAAAATATTCGTCATGTTAGTGTTATAATTATGTACCTCATTTCTTTCAAAATGTACAGAAATTGAACATGATGTTTAAAAGCGCAATATCATAAATATTTCAATGACAGGTAGAAAGTAATGTATGAACCTGTGGACCTAATGAGCAACTCTTTGTTCACTTGGGTTTTTTTTAATAAATAAAACAAAGAATCACCATAAATAAATAAAGTCTGATCTTTTCTGTAGAAAGAACACTAATAACACCAAAAACTGCTTTTTTAGAATTTTTTCGCTATATTTCTATGGGAGAGTGACCATGGATATTGGAATTTTGTTATATCCCAATTTCGGTCATGCTGGGAATTACTCATAGATTGTTATCAAATTATTCAAAATATTTTCGCATAGAATTAATACGATAATTTTGATAACAATATTATAGAGTAAAAATATCTAAAAAATAGTTCAGATACTATGCTATGAGAATATTTTTCTCCAAACTTCCGATGACCAATTACATTATAATTCAACGGGAAAGTGTGGAGAACAGTATAGTTCGTTCAAAACACGTAAAATGTACAAATATCGTATCAAAGTTGTGTAGGGAGGTAGATCATTAAACCTAAATCTCATATATTAAGATATCTACGTTTTTATTAACAGTGGACATAAAACACTATTAGACTCACACGACGATCGAAAACGATGATAGTAGATATATAAAAACTGAGGAATTATTAGCTACCCGTGCAATGAATCAGAGCTATGCCTGAAGGAGATACGTTTTATTTATTTTTTTAACATGATTTCCAAAATTAATAGCTGAGAAAATATTGACAATTTAAAAGTGGACACCATACTGTTTGTTATAGATTCTCGTTTGAAGTTGTCCATCTTTGTCAAAATGAAGATGTAAAGATCAGGCTTTGAAGAAGAGCTCCTAGTTTTTGTGGTATCCTTACTTTTAAAGTTCATTTAGATAAATGAGATGAATTCAGTATATTGTGAATAAATGTTAGAATGGACACTACAGTTTATGGTTTTACCGAGGTCTTTAATGCTATCTATAATACTAGGAAATATTGAAATCTAAATGACTCTCTGATGTAGACGGGTAAACGTAAATGCCTAAATACAATACGTGCAATGAGTACCAGAACAACGAACAAGCAAAAATTAGTCTGCCTGTCGCTTCGTGATTCTTTTAAGGGGTTATTCAAATAAATTCTAAAAATTCCAATGACAAATTTAATTGCTCAATAAAACTTGTTTTTTATTTTCTTTTCGTAACTATCATTTCATCTTAGACATTTACAAATTAAATCGTGATAAAAAAATCTAACCAGAATAATAGTGCAGTGGGGTTTTTTGGTGGTTTCTCCGAGATTTTATATGTCTTCAGATGAATTAAAAATTCTATGAATTAATGATTCATTGAGAAGGTTAATATATTACTTTTCGTTATGTACAGTGGCATGTGTTTCAATATTGAAATTGTTGTAAAAAGTACGGAGTACATCGATAACAAATGTACAAAATATGTTTCCATCATTAAAATGAAATTTGATCAGGTATATAAATATAAAAGGACTAGCTGTCTATTTCGACATTAAGTTTGGAAAAATCCGCCATGTTTACCATATATTGTTTGTTTATATTATGTGGACTAGTTTTGGTTTATTGTCATGCTGGTATGTTAACATTTTTATCTGTTTATGCCTTTATTTACAAATGAATTTTTCTTTACAACTCTTTTTATCTTGAAAAACTGACATTTTGATTCGTATTTCTCTTGTGATCAGTTGAGAATAGTAATTCACAAGAGGTTTCATAATTTTGTAGGCATAGCCAAGAAAAAAACCAAGAGCATTAAAAAAGAAACACAAGGCAGACAATGTAGCTGGACATTTCATGGCAATTTTTCTCACATGACTTCAATTCAATGGAGCTTAATATTCATATGATGAAGACATAATCTTTTAATCAGTTTAATTGAGGTCTGGAGCTGGCATGTCAGTAACTGCTAGTAGTCTGTTCTTATTTATGTATTATTGTCATTTTGTTTATTTTCTTTTGTTTCCTATTTTGACATCGGACTCGGACTTCTCTTTTACTGAGTTTTACTGTACGTACTGTTGTGCGTTTGTTTTTTCTACATTGGCTAGAGGTATAGGGGGAGGGTTGAGATCTCAAAAAAACATGTTTAACCCCGCCGCATTTTTGCGCCCGTCCCAAGTCAGAAGCCTCTGGCCTTTGTTAGTCTTGTATCTTTTTTTTAATTTTAGTTTCCTGTGTATAATTTGGAGTTTAGTATGACGTCCATTATCACTGAACTAGTATACATATTTGTTTAGGGGCCAGCTGAAGGACGCGGGTGCGGGAGTTTCTCGCTGCATTGAAGACCCATTGGTGGCCTTCGGCTGTTGTCTGCTCTATGGTCGGGTTGTTGTCTCTTTGACACATTCCCCATTTCCATTCTCAATTTTACTTCCATATCTTCTATACCTTCATCACCTAGAATTTTGCTTTCGGGAAGTTTTTTAAAATTAAAATCTCTATTGTATTTTAACAGATGCATGCAGTTATCCGTACCGACGAGTTGGTAAAGGGTGTTATCTAATACAAAAAGATAATATATCAGGCGATGCTGCTTTTGTAAGTAATTTCTAGATTTCTTATATTAAATAAAAAAAACAAAGTTTTACAAAACATTGGACCAATAGAAATGTGTCGTATTAATTAGAACTAATCATCAAATACATCTACTCGTCGTACCATTGACATTAATGTTTAAATTGACTTATAGGCCTAAACGGTCGGGTATTCTCATAATTGTTTTCATTTTCACTGTATTATAAAATATTTGTCAAAAATACTTGTCACTATAATAAATAATTTAGTTAGTTAGTTTGTTACATGGATAGACAAAGGGGCGTACGTAAATCAGATGAAGCCACACAACAGTTCTTGACTTTACCAAGTCAAAAATCTTGCTATTTTGACTCTTCAATGTTCGTTGTTGTTTCCTTGTTTGCAGTATGCTGTTTTATAGGGAAGTCGGGTTTCTTTAATATCGTACTTTATTTGGCCCTTTAATTTTTTTCGTCACTGATGAGTCTTTTGTCGACGAAACGCGCGTCTAGCTTACAAAAGCTTAATTCTGGTATCTATGATGATTTTATTATATGGTTGATGGGGTATGTTGTACTAGGGAATATATGTGAGATTCTTGTTTTCGCTATTTATGAGTCATTTAAAAGAAAAGAAGATGTCATTCTATTGTCAATTGTATGATGTTTACAACTACATATATGTATCACTGTAATGCCTTCAACTATTTTAAAACCTTATAATGTGTAGTAAGCTTCAAAATTAGATAAGTAATTCATTATATATTAACTTCATTTCATTTCTCTGACTTGTAACTCTCATACTGTAAGCACTATTAGCTACACAAACTTTTTTGTCGGCGTCTTTGTTATGTTTGTTTTATTTTTTTAGTCAGTTGTGTTGTATGTCTGGGATATATGTTTACACTGCTTCGGCCAAATTATTGTTACAATAATCTCTAATACAAAACTAAGGAAATGTGGTATGATTCCCAATGAGACAACTTTCCACCAAAGTTCGAATGATGAGGATGTAAGCAATTATATAAGCAACAGTACGGCCTTCACCAATATGGAAACCCTTATTGTGTAGTCAGAAATTGAAGCCCCGACATGAAAACAATAAACCAATCCAATTAAGAAAACTAACGGCCATACTTATAACAAAACAATTTACGAAAAACAAATATGATAAACATGGACCTACGACAACCACTGAACGACAGGTTCCGGACTTAGGACAGGCAGTTAAAGAATATGGCGGGGTTAAACCTGTTTGAAACCCTCCTCTAACCTTGGACAACCGTCCCCTTGTATTATGTTTATTGCAAATTTTATCAATATAATATAAATATAAACAAATGTCATACAAGTGGGAGGTTAAGCTAGCTTTAAAACCAGGCTTAACCACCATTTTTTTTTTTAAAAATGTATGTTCCACGACAAGAATGTAACATTTGCTTTCCATACATGTACGTTCCATTCGTTAATAAAGTCTAACGTTTGATTTCGTCAGCTTTTCTTGACTTCCCCATAGCTTGTTTTTTTTTAATACTTTTTTCTCAACCATTGTGTTGAAAACTTTGGTGACCCTATAAGATAACGAATTCTCCATCATCCATGTGTTATCTGTATTTTAATTTTCATTAAATGTTTATTCATTTCTTTATTCAAAGATATTGATGCTAGCATTAGAAAAAATAACAAAAAACAAGGAGTTTGCCAAGAGGTAATTCCCTATTGTCTTATAAGGTAATATTTATTTACCTCTTTCTCTGCATTTTTCTCCAATCATGTGAGGACTAATAATCAAACGATTTTATATTGACATGTTTTTATATGATAACATTCTTTTAGAAGTTATTTTGCTCAAAATCTTTCATGTTTTCAGGCAAAATGCTTACGACGAGGTGCATACCTGGCGAACTTTGAAACCCTAAATGAAGCAATGTTGATGAAGTACGAACTCTTAAAAATGAACACAGGTAATGTATACAATGCAAATGTTGTTTCTATCATATTATTGAATAAAGTAACAAACAAGTGCATTAATATATGTTAGTTATAGTTACATTTAGATCATGTCGTCTGTAATTTATGATTTTTGTATTAACAAAATAACTTAAGGAAGTTCGCTACTCAGTTTCAAAATAACAAGCTTTTCATAACACTAGTATATATTGATAGGGCATTAATAAAGGAACCAAAAGAGCGGAAAAAAAGTATAGGTCCGTGTGCTTGTTTTCGAGATATTAGCCATTGAAATTTTGGCGGGAAAATGTTCTCTCTTGATTTTTCATAGCTTTATCATTGACAAGTTTAAGTTGTCAAAAACTTTTAAAAAATAACAAAGATTTTATAAGACTTTTACAGATGGCTTATAATTATACATGTAAAAGATTTATAAAAAGAAAAATGGGGGTTAGTGGGCAAATTTTTTTAAGGCATTCAAATGGATAAATCCAGAGGATTCCGAAAATCTGACAAAAAGTCAGAAACAAGAGTAGCAAACATCCTTAAGTTAATCCCCTTCTTTCATGTTTACTACTTTTATTTTTAGCAAGTTTCAAGTGTTTTAGTGCTTTATAGCATTAAAATTTTAATTGGCTACAGATGAAATGTCCCAGAACTAAGAAATTCGACGATTCAACGATTTCTATGAAGGGGTTGCACGTTCAGACATAAGCGATCCGTTCAATATGCCTATTACATAGTTTATACTTGGAATTGTCTTAGACATAAACACTTATCTTAACATTTAAGTCAGAAAAATAAAGATTGCAGTTTAACACTAGTGTCTTACTTTCATTTCATAGGTGTGCACTACTATATTGGTGGACGTGACATTAATAGATATAAGCCCGGTGGTGATTGGAGATGGATCAAGAAAAACGGAGAAATGGTCAAGATGCCATACTTTGCTTTTGATAATGGAGAACCAAATGGAACATTCAAGTCGGCACAAGATTGTATGTTCTTCTATGCTTCTAGAGGATATAAGTTCCATTCTGTTTGGTGTGCAAACGGAGGCTCGCTTGGAGGTTATATTTGCGAGAAATAAAGCATGACTACCACTTTGACAAATGTTACTTTTTAATTAGTGCATTGATTATACATGTAGATTAGTTCTGGAAAGTTCTTTCCGGGAAAATTTACGTTGACCTATATTTTGGTTTAATCCGTTTTGGTATCTATCATATATCTTTCCACATTTCTGAGAACGAAACTATTGTTTTTGAATAAACTAATGACGTCGTCTGATGAACAGGTTTAGATAGATTGATAGATAACTCTCTAAAAATTGAGTACAAGTTCACAGAGAAACATACGATATCAAAAACAACAATAAAATAAAGTTAAAGATAAAGGTAAACAAATGCAGTGGGTTAATGTTCTGTACGATCCCGGAATTGACAGTTAGTTTAACCGGTTGAATCCAAACATGCATTGAAAATAAACACAAAGTTCTCCAATCACATCTTTATTGGATGTCAATAGGTAAAAACTACGAAAGACCAAATTAAAAAAAACAACCTTAAGTACTATTTCAAACATATATGTACTCAATAATACAATTTTCAATACAATGTCAAAAATTTATTAACCAAAATTTATGACACAAATGGATTTCCATAGAAAAATTTAATCGAAAAAGGGGACACTTTACAAAGCAAAAAAAAGAAATTTTAGACGGCGATACAGGCCAAATACTTACTCTAAAATTGGATTGGACTTCTATCTAACTTGCTACAATGCCCGAAAGCTGACACAATATAAGACAATCATAATCCGATGTTTCCAAAGGCTTTTATTACTTCAAATCATCACAGAAATCATTATGGAAGTAACGGTACACATCAAAACAATTCGTAATAATGCAAAGCATAACTTACAGTAAGGTGGACAATAATACGACAGAAATTGATCCAAAGTTCTCAAGCGAGCAAACATGTGTGTTGTGCTGATAAAGGGAGATAATCAGATAAAAAGTACCTATGGAAAGCATGTTAAAAATGTGTCAGAACACTCCTTACTTACCTGATATTAATATTTAATATCACTATTATTAAACATAAATAACCAAACAGTTATGAACTATGATGAAACAAAAAAAATCTATTCACTAGCATATCTTGCAAAGGGACAACAGAATAACGTTTGATAAAGTCTACACTCTAAACAAAATCACCATTTGTGAAATAGGTCTGGTGAAAGTTGAACCATTCCTAGCGACTCGAACCTCTGCCTTTCGAACTCGTCCGTCATGACCTGTTAGAGGGTTAACGATAATTCCAGTTGGTCATTCATTTCTCGAAACGTTTGTGTCCTGAATTAACATACTATCTCCTTGCTTCACATTCGAAGAAGAGTCTGTCCATTTTCGACGTGTTTGTAGAGTTTGAAGATATTCTTTGTTCCATCGTTGCCCGAAAAAATCTGCCAAATATTGCACTCGTCTCCACTGTGCTTTATACAGATCCTTCGTATCAAATGTTCCAATAGGAGCAGGGTAACAACCGAGTCTGAGTGAGTAACATCTCTGGACTGGGTATTAAAGGCGTTTCAGGGTCAGAAGATACTGGAACGATCGGTCTACCATTCACTACGGCACACACCTCTGCCAAAAAGGTAATTAACACTTCATGTGTCAGATTTTCTATTGTACTTCCATGATCATAGAATCAAGAATTTTTCGGGTAATGCCGATCATACGTTCCCACACTCCTCCCGTATGTGAAGAATGTGTTGGGGATTAAAAATCCATACTGACTGTTTATCTTCAAGAAATTTATGAACTGGCCCTTCTTCTACGTATACATTGATCGAAGCAATATTCAAATGATCTATTGAACTAACGAAATTATTTCCTCGGTCTGAGCGAATTTCCTTAATGCTTCCTCGTAAGGCAATGAATCTACGCAGAGCTTTTGTGAATGACGACGAACGTAGTTCTTCAATAACCTCGATGTGTATAACCCTTGTTGACAAACACGTAAATAATATAGCCCAATGTTTACTGTTGGCTTGACCACCTCTTGTTTTTATTGACATTACTGACCACGGACCGGATGTATCTATTCCTACTGATGAGAACGGTGGACTTGGAGATAACCGATCTAGAGGTAAATCAGACATCAGTTGTTGTTCCTGTTTGCCACGTAACTTACGGCAACTACTTGTGTAGCAACGACTAGATAAATCTTTTCTCTCCAACTATCAAGAAACCAGCATCTCTGAGCGCTCCTGTCGTAAAGTGTCGGCCTTGATGCCTAACTTCACTGTGATAATAACGGATCAATAGAATAGCGATATGGTTATTTCCTGGAATAATAACAGGATGTTTCAGTTTGTAATCAATGTCTGCTCTACTATTTCGACCACCCAAACGCAACATTCCGATACCACCGAGGAACGGTTTCAAGTTTTGAATTCGGCTAGTCTTCGGTAAGGGTAATTTGTTACTAATGCAACTGATTTCTTTCGAAAACACTTCGCTCTGGGTATAACTAATACTGTTGTTTTCGGAGGCGTTGTAAGATGTCGATAAATCATCGGTTTTGTCTTTCTGAAAGGTCTTTTCAAATATTTTCAAACATCTCTATTATTTTTTACAGATGAATGCAGTTACCCATACCAACGAGTAGGTAAAGGGTGTTATCTTATACAAAAGGATAATATATCGGCCGATGATGCTTTTGTAAGTAGTTTCTAGATTTTTTAAAGAAAAACAATGTTTAACAAAGCATTAAACCAACAGAAATGTGTGGTATTAATAATAAATAATCCTTTAAATACACGGATAGATATACAAAGAGGGATGGCCTCAAACTCGATTAGCCCCAAAACAGTTTTTGCTTGTACCAAGTCAAAAATCAGGCTATTTCAACTCTTTAAGGTTCATTGTTGTTTCTTAGTTTGCAATATGTTTTTGCTTATATGGAATTCTGGTTTTGGGTCCTCAATGCTCTTCAACTTCGTAATTTATTTAGCCTTTTAATGTTTTCCTCACTAATGAGTCTTTTGTAGTCTAAAAGCGAGACTAGCGTTCCAAAGTTTAATCCTGGTATATATATGATGATTTTATTTGATTGTTGATATGGTAAGTTGTACTGTGGAATATGTGTGAGATTCTTGTTTTCCCTGTTTATGTGTGTTTTTTTTTTTAAAGGAAGATGTCATATTATTGTCAATTACATAACAATCCGCCAAACACCAATTGACTAGGATGTTTACAACTACATATCACTGTACTGCCTTCAACAATTTCATAGCATGTAGAAAGCTTAAAAATAAGATTAAAGCCTTCTAGTAATTCATTATATATTAACTGTAGTCCATTTCCCTGACTTGTGACTCTCCTACTGTAAGTACTATTCGCTACACAAACTTTTTTGTCGGCGTCTTTGTTATATTTATTTTTTTATGTTTTTTTTTAAATTTTTAAGTCAGTTGTGTATGTCTGTGATATATGTTTACACAGTTTTGACTGCTGCGTCCAAATTATTGTCACAATAATCTATTAAATAAAACTAATGAGAAGTGGTATGATTGCAAATGAGAAAAAATATCCACAAAACTTCAAATGAAGTTGATGTAAGCAATTATAGGCAACAGTACGGCCTTCACCAATATGGAAAACCCTTATCGTTTAGTCAAAAGTTAAAGCCCCGACATAAAAAATATGAGGCAATTCAATTGAGAAATCTTACGGTCATATATATAACAAAACAATATACGAAACACAAATATGATAGACATGGACCTACGACAACCACTAAACGACAGGCTCCGGACTTAAGACAGCCACTTAAAGAATATGGCGGAGTTAAACATGTTTGAAATCGCTAACCCTTCTCTAACCTGGGACAACCGTCCCCTTATATTATGTCAGTTGCTCACCCACTTTTATCAATATAACATAACTATACACAAATGTCATACAAGTGGGAGGTTAAGCTAGCTTTAAAACCAGGTTTAACCACCTTTTTTCCTAAAATGTATGTTACACGGCAAGAAAAAAAAACATTTGTTTTCCATACGTTCCATTCGTTAATAAAGTCTCACGTTTGACTTCGTCAGCTTTTATGGGCTTCCCCTTAGCTCAGTATTTTTGTTAAAACTTTTTTTTCTCAATCATTTTGTTGAAAACATTGGAGACCCTATAAAATAAGGAATTCTCCATCATCCATGTGTCATCTGCATATTAATTTCCATTAAATGATCATTCTTTTCTTTATTCAAAAATATTGATGCTAGCATTAAAAAAGAAAAACAAGAAATTAGCCAAGAGGTAATTCCCTATTGTCTTCTAAGGTATTATTTGTTTACCTCTTTCTCTGTATTTTCTCCAATCACGTGCGGACTCACTTGTCTTATAATTAAACGATTTTATTTTAACATGTTTTAACATGTTAACATTCTTTTAGAAGTTATTTTGTTTAAAATGTTTCATGTTTTCAGGTAAAATACTTACGACGAGGTGCATACCTGGCGAATTTTGAAACCCTAAATGAAGCAATGTTGATGAAGAACGAACAGGTAATCTATACAATGCAAATGTTGTTACTATCATCCTCATAAATAAAATAACAAACAAGTGAATTAATATATGCTAGTTATAGTTACATGTAGATCATGTCACAATGTCGTCTGTAATTTATGATTTTCTTTTTATTAACGAATAAACTTAATCCCCTTGTTTTATGTATACCACGTTTATTTATAGTAAGTTGCAGGTGCTTTAATGCTTTACTGCAAAAAGACTTTGTATTGGATATAGATGAATTGTCCTAGCACTAATAGTTTCGACGGTTCAACGGTTTCAGAGAATGAAGGGGTAGTATGTTCAGACAAAAGTGATCTGTTCAAAATGCCTATGACATAGTATAAACTTGCAATTATCTTTTTTGTTTTATTCAAAGGTGTGCATTATTATGTCGGTGCACGTAACATCAATAGGTTTAAGACCGGTGGTGATTGGAGATGGGTAAAGAAGGACGGAGAAATGGTCAAGATGACTTACTTTGCATTTGATATAGGAGAACCAAATGGATCATTCAGCTCACCGGAAGATTGCATGCTTTTCCTTGGTTCTATACGATACAGGTTCCACAATGTTTGGTGCGCAAACGGTGGTTTACTTGGAGGTTATATTTGCGCAAAATAAATTAATTATAAAACATTGTGATTTTTCATTATTTGTGTTGTCCATTTATTATCTGATTTGAAATCTCTAAAATATAAACAAGAAAAAAATCGAGCCTGGACATAAAACCAGAGCTATAACGTAGGGAGATACTTTCCTTTATTTTAATGATTTTAAAGTGGCTATTCTAGCAATATCCGTATATTTATGCCAGTATCGAAGTACTGAATACGTGGCTGGTGATACCATCAGTGATTTAAAGAACACACGCAGGGGTATCTATTACCAAGGCGATTATTTCAACTTCCCATTTTTCAATAGACCGATACACTCTGCTCCGTCGAATGGCGTTTAAAAACTTAATTTATACATTATTATCATGCATGTTCACATATTCAAACTTCTTGAACAGGGTGTGATCCTACAGAGGAATTAGGAACAACGACTAAATTGGCACGTTGACCGATACGATGTGTCCGTTTCTCAACTCACTTGTGACATGTCTTCGCGGTCTTAATCTATAACATACAGGATACGCTCAACCTGTCGACACAACCAGTCTCGCTCTTTTTGGAGTTCATGCGATTCTCTGATCTTGTGTGTGTAACCTTGATTTGTCTCTTTTTGTTCGATTTACGAGATTTCAACATCGGTAAACCATTATCGACTTGATTTATATGTCTTATTAAAGACAGATCTTTAGTTCTGTAAACATTGTACAGATTCGAACAATGGTATACCATTATCGACTTGATTTATATGTCTTATTTAAGACAGATCTTTAGTTCTTTAAACTTTGTACAGATTCGAACAATGGTAAACCATTATCGACTTGATTTATATGTCTTATTTAAGACAGATCTTTAGTTCTTTAAACATTGTACAGATTCGGACATTGGTAAACCATAATCGCCTTGATTTATATGTCTTATTTAAGACAGATCTTAACTTCTGTAAACATTGTAAAGATTCGAACATTGGTAAACTACTTTCGCTTTAGTTTACCGAACGAGAAAAATCACAGGAAATATGTCGTGCGTGCTAAAATTGGTATCTCACATTCATATCAATGATTTCGGTATGGTCTACTATGGTCTTATCTGTCACTTTCTCCTTTAATTACAAATTGTATCCTGTAACGGATATTTTGTAATACACCTGTATTTTATTTGTATATGCATCTATTCGTCTGTAAGCTTTGTAATCGAAACTGCACTCGACCTATAAACTGAAGAAGGGAACTGATGATATTCAAATTGATTAAACTTGACATTTATTAAATCTAAATTGTAACAATGGTAATTTTGTATTTGAATTAAAGAAAACAATGTATTCTGCTTCGAACATTGATATTTTAGGCATTGATAAATATATCTGAATTCATTCTGTTTTTAAAAGCGTTTAATCATTGTATATTAGAAATAAATTAATAATTGTAATGCAAAAATGTACCTTACGTTAACGAAAACTAAAGCATTTGAGATAATAATCGCATTGACATACAAAGTAAAATATGTCAAGGAATACAACAATGAGAAGATGTGGTATGATGACCAAATGACGTAGAAATTAACAAACATAGGTCAAAGTACGGCCATATCATGTTGTGTCGATTTCTGGTGTTCTTCGGCATTACTCAGTTGTGACAATTTTTATGTCGGAAGTACACCCTGTTTATTGAGTCCGTATAGTGTGAATATGCACGAGATATGTAAAACCCATACGGTGGGAAGGGGATATATGTTACTACGGAGAAATAGGAAGATGACGATTGGAATGTTGAAATCATCACATTTGTCATAGAATCTAGTTTGAAGTCGTCCATTTGTGTCATTGTCGAGGAAAAGATTAAGATACGAAGCAGACATTCTAAGTTTGGTAGTATCCTTAGTCAAACTCATAGATCGAAAACAAACTGACAACGCCATGGCCAAAGATAAAAAACAAACAGACAAATAATAGTACAGATGACACAACATAGAAAACTAAAGACTAAGCAACACGAACATTAGAAAGTAATGTATGAACCTGTTGACCTAATGAGCAACTCTTTATTCAGAAATAAAACAAACAATCTCCATAAATGAATAAAGCCTCATCTTTTCTGTGGAAGAACACTAACAACAACAAAAACTGTTTTCCCTATATTTCTATGGGAGAGTGACCATGGATATAGGAAATCTGTGATATCCCAAAATCTGTTATGCTTAGAATTACTCATAGATTGAGTTCAAATTATTCAAAATATATTCCCATAGAATTACTACGATAATTTTGATAACAATTGTATAAAGTAAAAATATATGAAAAATAGTTCAGATACTATGCTATGAAAATATTTTTCTCCGATGACCAATTACATTATAATTCAATGGTAAAGTGTGGAGATAGAACAGTATAGTTCGGTCAAAAACACGTAGAATGTACAAATATCGTATTCAAGTTGTATAGGGAGGTAGATCATTGTACCCAAATCTCATATATTAAGATATCTACATTTTTATTATTAGTGGACATAAAACAGTATTAGACTCAGACGACGATCCAAAACGATGATAGTAGATAGATAAAAAATGGGGAATTATTAGCCACTTTTGGAATGAATCAGACCTATGCCTGAAGGAGATACATTTTATTTTTATTTTACATGATTTCCAACATTGATAGCTGAGAAAATATTGACGATTTAAAAGCGGACACCATAATGTTTGTTAAAGATTCTCGTTTGAAGTGGTCCATCTTTGTCAAAATTAAGGTGTAAGGATCAGGCTTTGAAGAAGACCTTCTAGTTTTTGTGGTATCCTTACTTTTAAAGTTCATTTGGATAAATTAGATGAATTCAGTATATTGTGAATAATTGTTAGAATGGACACTACAGATTATGGTTTCACCAAGGTCTTTAATGCTATCTATTATATTAGGAAATATTGAAATCTCAATGACTCTCCGATGCAGATGGGTAAATGTAAATACCTAAATACAATACGTGCAATGAATATTAGACCAACAATCAAGCAAAAATTAGTCTGATTGTCGCTTCGTGATTCTTTTAAGGGCTTATTTAAATATATATAAAAACAGATCAAATGACAAATTAAGTTGCTCAATAAATCGGGTGTCTTATATTATTTTCGTTACTATCATTTTATCTTTGACATTTACAAATTAAATCGTGATAGAAAATCTAACCAAATTAATAGTGCAGCGTTCTTTTTGTTGTTTCTCCTAAATTTATGTGTCCTCAAATAAATATAAAATTCTATGAATCAATGATACATTTTGGAGGTCAATATATTACTGTTCGTTATGTACAGTGTCATGTGTTTCAATATTGAAATTGTTGTAAAAAAGTATGGAGTACATCGATTCCAATTTTACGAAATACGTTTCCATCATTAAAATGAAATTTAATCAGCTATATAAATATAAAAAGACTCACTGCTCTACAATCAGTTTGGAAATATCTGCAATTTCTACCATGTATTGTTTGTTTTTATTATGTGGACTAGTTTTGGTTTATTGTCATGCTGGTATGGTAACATTTTTCTGTTTATTCTTATTTTACAAATTAACACTATATGACATTTTGATTCGTATCAATCTTCTCTGGTGATCAGTTAAGAAAACCTCTTGATCGTCAATAATATATTTAGAACTTCATATTATTTTCTAAAGGGTATTCGCTGCTCAATTACAACTATCATTCCTTTTAAAAACATATAATGTATAATGCTCTAAATTATGGAAAAAAATATTATGGGGTATTTTCTTGTTTTTTTTAAATAAAAGTGAATTGAACAATTATAATTTTTTGAAAGAGAACCATATTTCTGGATTTTTTACATGACACGTTTGGGAAGAACGCACAGTATTGGTCAGCTTTTAAAATTATAATTTTAAAGCAATAACTGAAATAGCTAAGTATTTCACAAGTTTTTTAGATATATGTTCAGATATAAAGGGATTCTACACAAACATTGTGTAGGCATATCCCAAAATCTGTTATGCTTAGAATTACTCATAGATTGGGTTCAAATTATTCAAAATTTATTCCCATAGAATCACTACGATAATTTTGATAACAATTGTTTGAGTAAAAATATATGAAAAATAGTTCAGATACTATGCTATGAAAATATTTTTCTCCGATGACCAATTACATTATAATTCAACGGGAAAGTGTGGAGATAGAACAGTAAAGTTCGGTCAAAAACACGTAGAATGTACAAATATCGTATTCAAGTTGTATACGGAGGTAGATCATTGTACCTACATCTCATATATAAAGATATCTACATTTTTATTATCAGTGGACATAAAACACTATTAGACTAACACGACGATCCAAAACGATGATAGTAGATAGATAAACAATGGGGAATAATTAGCCACCCGTGCAATGAATCAGACCTATGCCTGAAGGAGATATATTCTATTTTTATTTTACATGATTTCCAAAATTTATAGCTGAGAAAATATTGACAATTTAAAAGTGGACACCATAATGTTTGTTATAGATTCTCGTTTGAAGTGGTCCATCTTTGTCAAAATTAAGGTGTAAGGATCAGGCTTTGAAGAAGAACTTCTAGTTTTTGTGGTATCCTTACTTTTAAAGTTCATTTGGATAAATCATTTCCATCATTAAAATGAAATTTAATCAGCTATATAAATATAAAAAGACTCACTGCTCTACAATCAGTTTGGAAATATCTGCAATTTCTACCATGTATTGTTTGTTTTTATTATGTGGACTAGTTTTGGTTTATTGTCATGCTGGTATGGTAACATTTTTCTGTTCATTCTTATTTTACAAATTAACACTATATGACATTTTGATTCGTATCAATCTTCTCTGGTGATCAGTTAAGAAAACCTCTTGATCGTCAATAATATATTTAAAACTTCATTTTATTTTCTAAAGGGTATTCGCTGCTCAATTACAACTATCATTCCTTTTAAAAACATATAATGTATAATGCTCTAAATTATGGAAAAAAATATTATGGGGTATTTTCTTGTTTTTTTTAAATAAAAGTGAATTGAACAATTATAATTTTTTGAAAGAGAACCATATTTCTGGATTTTGTACATGTTTGGGAAGAACGCACAGTATTGGTCAGCTTCAAAAATTATAAATTTAAAGCAATAACTGAAATAGCCAAGTATTTCACAAGTATTTTAGATATATGTTCAGATATAAAGGGATTCTACACAAACATTGTGTAGACATAGCTCAAAAACTCTGAAGAGGATTAAGAAAAATGGAAAACATTAGACATACGATGTAGCTGGATTTACTGACCCTTTCATGGTACCTTGAATCACTTCATACCAATTAAATGGAACGTGGAATGCTTTTTCTATCTTCTTCACTTTTATCACATAGATTCCTGCTTTTTGGGCTTTTTCTTCAAACCTTTCGAGTACACAAACGTGGTAAAATATGAATATTTTGTATGTCAGCTGACCAGCAACGTCATAATTTTTTGGACTGTTCCGATCATACTCCCACGTCATATGCTTTTATTATGAATGAGTTACCCGTGGTCAATCGGTGTAAATGACGTCATTGAACGATGGCGTATGAATTTAAGCATTAACGGGAAAATACACGATTGTGAAACTGAAAGTCATCAAAACAAGGACACATAAACATGATAAACAAAAGATGATAGAAATTGATTTTAATCCAATTTTTTAAATAAGAAATAAGATAATCGTTTAACTTCGTCCAATCCTATCCAAGTATGTTATTATAAATAGTCTATATTTTTAACTTCAATATTAATAGTGTGTTTGATTACGGGAACGGCAAATGTTTGCCTTCACCAAGAGCGCTTCGAGCCAGATGAATTGCCGTATTTGTCCTATTAGAACAGAAAATAAATCATGGGGGCTTGAATTTATACTGAATTTAGCATGGGTTTACCATTTATGCCGATATTGTATCCCTCGCTAGTGCTCGTGGTAAAATATTTAGCATAAAGGGCCTACCCGTGGTGAAATCAGTATTAATTCAAGCGCACATGAATTATCTCATAATTTTATATCTACAGATGAATGCAGTTATCCATACCGACGAGTTGGTAAAGGATGTTATCTTATACAAAAAGATAAAATATCTGGTGATGCTGCTTTTGTAAGTAATTTCTAGATTTCATTAAAACATATTGTAAGTTTGACAAAACCTTGGACCAAAAGAAATGTGTCGTATTAATTTGAAATAATCCTTCAAAAACATAGATAGATAGACGAAGGGGTTTGTCCAACTCGTTTAGCACCACCACAGTATTTGTCTGTACCAAGTCCAAAGTCTGGCTATCTTAAGCATTTGATGTTCATTGGTGATTCCTTTGTTAATATGTATGCTTTTTCAAAAAAGTTCCTCGGAGAGTACCAAGACCTCACATATAAAATTTCAGTGTCAACTCACAAATAATACAAGATGGTCTCAAGTTATTGATTCTAGGTGCTGAAGTTGTGTATCTTTTATTTACTTTACAGTGTGTCCTTCATTTGTCTGTTTATCTGTTTGCTATTATGTTCATTTTGGTCATATGACCCTGAACGTGACCAGCTATCTGGTTTGTGTGCCTAGTACCGGTGGGTCCGGATGTGAGATTCGGTCGCAAGAGAGGTTTTTACAGTGTATTTTCATTTTTTGTGGCTGCTGGATTCTAATTATTGTCACATTACAATTCTGACCTATTAGGCCTATGTAGGTTGCTCACTCAATTTTGTCAATATAAAGAAATTATAAACAATTGTCATACAAGTAAGAGTTTAAGCTAGATATAAATCCAGGTTTAACCCGCCATTTTCTTCGGAAAATGCCTGTTCAAAGTCAGGAATATGACAATTGTTTTGCCATTTGTCCGTATGATGATCAAGTCTAACATTTGTTCCGTATGATGATAAAGTCTAATATTTGTTCCGTATGATGATAAAGTCTAACATTTGATTTTGTCAATTTTTATGGACTTCCTCCTTTTGAATTAACCTTTGAGTTATGTTATACTTTTTTAAGGTTAATGTCGTCTGTTGTACTGTGGATATTTTGTTTGCGATTCTTCTGTTCTCTTTGTATGTGTTATGTTAAAACAATATATGATATAATCATTAATGAAATAACAATCTAAACACCAAATGACAAGGATATTTACAAGTACATCACCGTACGACCTTCGACAGTTCTTAAAACTAATATCGTATGGTAAAATTGAATTAAAGTATTCTTGGTATTGATAATGTTAGAAGTTGAATTTTAATTCCCTGTCTAGTAAATCTCAACCATTTAGTTGAAAACTAAGGTGGTTCTATTGAATTAAGATTTCTTCATAATCTGCTTATGAATTTCCATAAATGCTCTCTTTTTTATAAGAAAAATTAGATTGATATAAAGAATAAAAGCAGACAACTGAGTTGACTGGGAGGTAGCGTGTTATTGTTTTACAGAGTATATTTAACAACCTGTATTTTACAATTTTCTTCCATCACGTGCATACTCCCGTATTTCATAATTAAACGATTTTATATTGTTTTGTATTCATCGTTTTTGAACGTTTTTTGCACAAAATATTTAATGGTTTCAGGCAAAATGCTTACGACGTGGTGCATATCTAGCGAACTTTGAAACATTAAATGAAGCAATGTTGATGAAATATGAACTCGTTAAAATGAACACAGGTAATTCATATGATTTAAGTGGTAGCTTATTTCAGCACATGTGTATATGGTGATTCGGTCTGATCCGAGAGAGAATACATGAAGGTTACATATATTTTTTCAACGAAATAGTTCATACACATAACTGTTACTTTGTAAATAAGTCAAATATTTTCCATAATTTGCTATCAAATGTAAGCTTGAGGACTTTGGACCACTGTAGAATACTTTTTGATAATTTCTTTTGAAAAATTAACAAAATATAGTTAATGAAAGTTAAATAGATTTGATTTGATTTGATTTTTTGTGTTTTAACGCCACTTTTAAGCACAGCTTCTGGGCTATTTCGTGGCGACCAGTTTTTATTGGTGGAGGAAGCCGGAGTGCCCGGAGAAAACCACCGACCTTCGATAGGAAAACTGACAATCCTAGTCAATTAAGATTGGAGTCGAGTGCACCCGCACGTGCGGGGTTCGAACTCACAACCTCAGTGTTGACTGGCTAGTGATTACAGTAGTAACTACTTAGACCACTCGACCACCGAGTTTATATTAACAAAATATATGAAAGTTAAATAGAAGGACATAGTTTGCCTGTTGCATAAATGAGAAGTACCTGCTTTTGTATTATAACACTTCCGGCAACCAACGAACTCTAGAATGAAAGTAAAGGTATGTTTAAACGTTGTTCACCTCAAGCCAAGATAAGGTATTGTTTATATGAAATGAATGTCATTTTAATTAATAAAACTTCAGACAAAATAGCTGCAAATGTTCGAAATTGCAGAATTTAACACGGAAAGGCAATGGGGCTATATTTTAGAAGTTTTATTCCTAAAGTTATAGTAGATTATGTCACAAAGGTCAAATGCTAATTGACATTCAGACACTATCGATCAGTTCAAAATGTATATAACATATCATGTACTTGCAATAATGTTTTAATTTAATTTAAAGGTGTACACTTTTATGTTGGTAGACGTAACATCAATAGATATAAGACCGGTGGTGATTGGAGATGGATAAAGAAGGACGGAGAGATGGTCAAGATGACATACTTTGCATTTGATAATGGAGAACCAAATGGAACTTTGAAGTCTGCACAAGATTGTATGTTCTTTCTTGCTTCTAGAGAATACAAATTCCATTCTGTTACGTGCGCAAACAGAGGTTCGCTTGGAGGTTATATTTACGAGAAATAAATTATGACCATTTTTGCAGATTTTTTTTTTAATGCATTGGTTAAAGTTCGGTCCTGGAAAGTTCTTTCCGGGAGAAGTAAGTTTGACCTAGAGTCATGCGTTGTTCTGTACAGTTATCTAGCCGGGATCCTGATGTACAAAGAAGTACCAGTCTAAAGTATTGTTTGTGTTTCGGGCTGGATGGCAATAGTATTTTGTATCTGACAATGTGATAAATTGATGCTAGTCTCTGTTTAAAGTGGAATACATTGTTTGTATTGTCCATTTGTTCGGTTTCTGTTCAGGGGTGTTCAGCTTTTTCTGTTGGATTCCAGCTGGTTTGTTGTGGTGTTTTTTTCTAATTTTATTTCGTAGTGATATGCTCATTTTTGTCATTGCAGTAAAATAGAGGCAAAAGATATCAAAGGGACATTCAAACTCATAATGCGAAAATAAACTGACAATGCCATGGCTGAAAACGAAAAACCCAACAGACAAATAACAGTACACAAAACACAACATAGAAAACTAAAGACTGAAGGGTATCCAGATCCTGCTTCACATGTGGTACCAGTCGTGTTGCTCATGTAAATACAAAACCGGTGATAAGTCTTATTTGGTAGGTCAGTAACTTATTTAAAACGTTTATCTTTAAAAAAAATATCTTAAATGCTTCACCGTTTTGTATTTAATGTCAAGACGCAGATACTTGTTAACGAATATTCAATCAATCAGTAGCTTTTCAAGGCAGATCAACTAGGAGAAAGGGCCGAAAATTTTGACTGCACATTAAAAAATCTAAATATGAATGGGCATAAATTTAACACTGCAAAAGATCCCTTGGTCGCAATTAAAAAGGTTTAACAAAAACGCTTAAGGATTATGCTTCGTGTACAGATCGTTATATTTTCTTAACTTATATATCATGATTTCCTTGATAGAGGATTGCTGCTCACAAGGAAGCTATTAAACCAAGAGTTCCAAATGGTGAAGTTGAAGTCATCCCTTCGTAAATTTTACGGACGCCATCACGAGTTGGTTGACCGTTATGGAATAACCGTTTCACAGATGATATCGGATATGTTCCTTATGTCGTAACTACAATACCCTTCCCTTTTCACGAATGTGACTTACCGAATTAGACTATTTACCGGATTTGTAATAACATAAGCAACACGACGGGTGCCACATGTGGAGCAGGATCTGCTTACCCTACCGGAGCACCATTGATCACCCCCAGTTTTTGGTGGGGTTCGTGTTGCTTAGTCTTTAGTTATCTATGTTGTGTCATCTGTACTATTATTTGTCTGTTTGTCTTTTTTATTTTTGGCCATGACGTTGTCAGTTTGTTTTCGATCTATGAGTTTGACTGTCCCTCTGGTATCTTTCGTCCCTCTTTTATATTACTTAGATAAAACACCTCCATTCCGTCAGGATCTGGGTGAATGTTTCGACATTCAAAACAGCTAAACGAGTGGAACATCAGCATGGACATTACTGCTCAATCGTTTGGCATACATTTATTTTATTTCAAAATACTGCATGTACAGCATATATATGTAGGACTCGGAGGTGCGATGGGGACACTGAAGTGCGATGGTCACGCTGAAATGCGATGGTTCGTTCGCTGATGTGCGATGGTCTATTTGACGCGTTAGGGCTAGTTTAATATCTACAGATGTGCAGTTATTATGAGAAGCAGAATAATTTTTTAATAGTTAGTATATAAATTAACATTCATTATTGTGTATGTCAGTCCTTAATTTCAGTTGTCAGCGTCAATCCATCGCCAATAAGCGTGACTATCGCGGATCGGAGTACCATCGCGGTTCAGAGTCCTACACATATATCTTCATAACAATCATGCCTTAGTATGTATTTCGTTCACAAGTTTTCTTTATAGTTATATTTTAATATAACACACATTCGTACAGCATCGATGTTAGAATATTGCAAAAAAGATTTTTGAAAAATTTGCTTAATCAAAAAGCTTACAACAACGTACTTTTTCTGACAAATTCAAACAACAAGTCAGCAATGAAAGGATTTGTCTAAACAACAACGTTGCTTATACATATAACTTTATTAAAACACTCATCTTAAATGATAAAATGGTATTGATACAGTTTTCGCGAAGTGAGCGTTGTTTTGTATTCTGCTTGACCGGAGTTTGCTACGTCCCAAATTATATATTCAAACTTGCAATAACGGGACGCGAATTGTTTGACTTTGTTATGGTCATTTCTAGTATCTTTACAAAATGATTGGTGTGACTTTAAAGCTATTAAAAATTAAAATATTTTCCATGTATGAACTTGATATCTTACATTAATTTAAGTTTAAAAGTAATTGTTGTGAATGTAAACTGTTTTCGAACTGATATTGTCTTTCTATGGTAGTATTCTACAAAACTATCTCTAAAACTGGTAAATACGATACTGGTCCGTAATATAGTTCCTGCAGTAAGTCGGTTCTTCATACACCGTTACTTTTACGAAATGAATGGACTTACCGAACAAACAAAATATCAGGCTTTTGGAAAATATGTCCTACGAACTAAAAGCGGTATCCTACATTCATATCAATGGTTTTGGTATGATATATTCTATCATTTTCTCCTTTGATTACAAATTGTTTCAAGTTAATAATTTCTTTTCCAGTTACCGCGGAGCAAAACCTCGTTACCACAATGGTTTTAACATTTCTTACATATTAGTTATAAGATGTTGGATTCGTGTCATTCTCTCTATATTTGACTCAAGAGATGACAATAAGCTGCTGTGAACCATTGTCGAGCGTTCGATTTTGTCAGTTTTCTGGACTCCCCCCTTTATAAATTTGCCATGGAGTTCGGTATTTTTTTAATACTTTAAATTGTTCACTTTTTCACAAAATCTTAGTTGATCTATTCGGTATTTTTAAACACAATAGTCTTTATCTTGAGAGCTGAAAAGATGTCCGGCATCGAGAACATGCTAGATTTCTTCAGCTTACTATTTCATGTCCATGATAAAAGAATGTTTGACTAACTGCTAATCTTTCTTTGATTCTATGGCCTAAGATCAAAAGTGTTTAGCTTTGGTGGTACCGATTTATAATATGTATGATTTTTACCATAGTATCATTCACGAGTCTTACATGTACGTTATGTTACATCGAAGCATTGCTTCTTCGGTATTCATTACAATATTGCTACATGGTCGCACAGTCAAAGGCAAATATATGAACGAGTAGAGATATTATCCGAAGCATTTCTTTATGTAGAAAATGATAGTTGTTGACGTAGTAGGGCTTGAGCTAGGTTTCATTGCTTTTTAATACAATGAAAAACGAAAGACCTGTTTATTGTTTTTCATAGGCAAACGGATACATGAATATGTCATATTGTATTAATTAGCATAAATATTAAGTTGATATTATTCTCAACTATGTTTTGTAATGCATAGCTGAATCACAACTGAATTCAAGCAAATGGTGCTAAGGACCGTTTTAAACTTGCATTGAGGTAGAGTTAGTTTGCCATGGTGAAGACCTCTCTTCTATTTGAGTATGAGGAAAGCGCTCGTTCCCTGCTTTTTCATTTAGTGTAGTGATTTTGAGTCGTGAAGTGATACACCATGTATTCTTTATGTCCTATTAAGATAGCAAATTAAAAAATCAAACATTTACCTAAATTTCGCTTTAATGATAATTTATAGTGTAAGGGGTTAAGCGCTCACTTTTTTAAAATGTTTAATCTCATTCCATATGTGTATGTCCCAAATCAGGGATTGTCATTGGTATATTTCTGTCATATTTTTTTTTATTGTTTTGTAATACATCAGTCCGTTGGTGTTTTCGTATAATTTTGAATTGAATAATTACAAATTTTGTCTTGTCGTGGCCTTATGTAGCAGACCGCACGGAGATCTAAAAATGCTAATGTCTGTACCGAGTCAATATTATGGCAGTTGTTTTTCACTTGTTCTGGCGATCTGTTGATTAATAGCGTTTGATTTTATTAGTTTTTATGGACTTCCATTTTTTGAATTTACCTTGGAGTTATTTTTTTTTTACAAATTTAATTTAATCACAAATTAAGGAAAATCAATAATAATTTAGCATTGTACTGTTTACGCGGACCGAATGAAGTCGTCTCATTCCAAGTTAAACAGTTAGCATCACGACTTTGTTGACAGTTATCGTGTGTCTATGTGTCAACTTACGAGAAACATATTATTGTAGTCTTAGATCTTTTAACGCCTGTGATAGTCTTCCAGTCTAAATATTCACCGATTGTGTCCTATTTCCTGTCATAATCTTTCAATGGAGTCTCGGTCCTGGTGACGTATACTGTGGATTCATTTATTTTCGTGGGTACCAATTTTCGTGGATTGAGGAAAACTTGTGGATATTTGATTTCGTGGTTTTTCAAAAATCTTAATAAATTCCTATACAAAATTTGTTATTCGTTGGAAATTTGAATTCGTTGTTCCCGGGTTACAACGAAATCCACGAAAATTGGTATCCAGTATTGGATTTATAACAGAAAATGCTTATTCTGTTTACGACCTTGTAACCTCTGTTTGAAGTAACAGTTTATTCTCATGTCTAGTGAAAAAACTAGTTCCGAATATCGGCAAGTTACTATCGCCTCATAAGTATATGTTTCATCTGCATTGCTTCATAAAACTGACTACATTGGTAGTATGCTGTCGTTACTATTTACGTATCAGTCATTTCATCCTGCTTATCAACAAACAAATTCGCTCTCAAAGACAACAAATTATATTACAAAAAGAATCAGTCTTTCTTTCTTGTTTCTGATTCCGCATGGACAATTATTTGAGTACTAGTGGTACCTAATTTCTAATCACGTGAACTTCTTTTTTTCGGTAATGACCAGACCACCTTTTCAATTATTTCACTCGTAATTTTCTGAGAGTTGGTGCATTTCTGTAAATAATTTTTACCCACTTGTATTTCGCGACTTCTATTATTGACGTGCATAATCTATTGGTTAAAATGGAATGCGTAGTAGTGTACTAGTATGTTA